TGCCTTGAAGGAAGAAGCATGGAATATCCAAAGGATGATGTAACAGAATGCAATAGTGGTATTTCTTCAATATAGAATTTGTTGATGGTTAAGTAGCTCAATTGGTAGAGCATGGCGCTTGTAACGCCAGTGTAGTGGGTTCGATCCCCGGGACCACCCATACATTATTTTAAAAAATGTATGCATGCATGACTGTAAGTCGCTTTGGATAAAAGCATCTGCTAAATGGCATATTATAAGTAAGAACAACTTGATATACATTCAACGGTCAACCCAAGGTTCTCCATTAAGCATGCATGAGTAGGCTTAATCTGGGTCTGGGAAGTCAGAAGCCCTATGCCTCTGTTTTTGGTTATCATTATTCTCGACCCCTCCCACCTCTCACACAGTCCAGTGCCCAGGGCACAGTACCCTACCTGGGGAATCTTCCTCACAGACCTCACCATGCTGGACACAGCTGTGAAAGACAGGCTAGAGGTGAGTCCCTTCATATACAGTCATTTATCCCTCATCATGTGTCCATCAACAGGAAGTTGGTCATAAGCTCTGGTGGTGAGGTTGTAGTTGGTTGACCAAAAAAGTTGCATTGACAGTGACATAATCTCCTGTTCCTCCATTTCAGAACGGCTACATCAACTTTGACAAGAGGAGACGAGTAAGTGTTGCAATCAGGGCCTTGCACTGCTGCTGTTTAAATTCCTCATCACCCATTGTCCACATGTTGAGTTAGTCCAGGATCCAGACCAATTCATTAGCCTCTGGCTCAACATAACAGAGGGTCTTCATAAATGGCTTTTCTGTTGTGCCACTCATTAAGTATGTGGCAGTGTATTGAATTCTGAATCAGTGCATCCATACGCATATTCATGTATAACTGCTAGCATTTCAAATGATAATGTGCCATTAGTACTGGAGAGTAATTTGATGTTCATAATTATTCGTTTTTCTCTTCGCAGGAGTTTGAGGTTTTAGCTCAGATCCGACTACTGCAGTCTTCCTGTAAAAACTGTGTTTTCATCACTGACGAGGCATTTCTACAGTGGTACCAAAGTGTACCCTCGTTAAATGAACAAGAAAGGTAAACCATGATTATCTTTGGTTTCAGTAGTATTCATTTTCCAATAAAAATATTCAAGTTTGTACATACATGTTATTTCAAACGAAACACTACAGTTATGATGACCGCCAATCACATTACATGATGTCTGCAGTTACAGACTGTCCAATGAAATTGAGGTGCCGTGTGAACCGAGCCCTGGTCGTACCGTGAACCCTACAGTGATCATCACACAGTGCCCAAGGTAATGAGGCCTATTATTACACTCAACACTCAACAAGGCGGTAGTATTCACTTCAGAGACCTTTCAATATATATAGTGCCTTCAGAAAGTATTCAGACCCCTTGACTTTTTCCACATTTTGTTACGTTACAGCCTTATTCTAAAATTGATTAAATTGTTTTTTTTACCTCATCAATCTCCAGACAATACACCATAATGACAAAGCAAAAACAGTTTTTTAGAATGTTTTGCTAATTTATAAATAAAAACGGAAATATCACATTTACATAGGTATTCAGACCGTTTACTCAGTACTTTGTTGAAGCACCTTTGGCAGCGATTACAGAATCAAGTCTTCTTCGGTAGGATGCTACAAGCTTGGCACATAAGCATTTGGGGAGTTTCTTCCATTCTTCTCTGCAGACCCTCTCAAGCTCTGTCAGGTTGGATGGGGAGCGTTACTGCACAGTTCTTTTCAGGTCTCTCCAGAGATGTTCGATCTGGTTCAAGTCCAGGCTCTGGCTGGGCCACTCAAGGACATTCAGAGACTTGTCCCAAAGCCACTCCTGCGTTGTCTTGGCTATGTGCTTAGGGTCGTTGTCTGTTGGAAGGTGAACCTTCGCCCCCAGTCTGAGGTGTTGAACGCTCTGGAGCAGGTTTTCATCAAGGATCTCTCTGTACTTTGCTGCGTTCATCTTTCCCTCAATCCTGACTAGTCTCCCAGTCCCTGCCGCTGAAAAACATCCCCACAGCATGATGCTGCCACCACCATGCTTCACCGTACGGTTGGTGCCAGGTTTCCTCCAGACGTGACGCTTGGCATTCAGGCCAAAGAGTTCAATCTGGGTTTCATCAAACCAGAGAATCTTGTTTCTTATAGTCTGAGAGTCCTTTAGGTGCCTTTTGGCAAACTCCAAGCAGGCTGTCATGTGCCTTTTACTGAGGAGTGGCTTCCGTCTGGCCACTCTACCATAAAGGCCTGATTGGTGGAGTGCTACAGAGATGGTTGTCCTTCTGGAAGGTTCTCCCATCTCCACAGAGGAACTCTAGAGCTCTGTCAGAGTGACCATCGGGTTCTTGGTCACCTCCCTGACCAAGGCCCTTCTCCCCCAAATGCTCAGTATGGCCAGGCGGCCAGCTCTAGGAAGTCTTGGAGGTTCCAAACTTCTTCCATTTAAGAATGATGGAGGCCACTGTTTTCTTGGGGACCTTCAATGCTGCAGACATTTTTTGGTACCCTTCCCCAGATCTGTATCTCGACACAATCCTGTCTCTACGGACAATTCCTTCGACCTCATGGCTTGGTATTTGCTCTGACATGCACTGTCAACTGTGGGACCTTATATAGACAGGTGTGTGCCTTTCCAAATCATGTCCAATCAATTGAATTTACCACAGATGGACTCTAATCAAGTTGTAGAAACAGGGGTGTTTTGTGGCTTGTTGTCATGAAGGTTACGGTGCATGATGTGATTCTCTCACCTCCTTACAGCCTGAATTCCTCCAGGACCAGCCTTGTTGCTGACAGTGACAGTCTTTTTGACTTCCCCTCCCCCGTCTGTCACTTTCTTTCCAAACTCACCAAGGTAATTACGAAATAAGACCTAATATTTACAGTTATTTTAAGTACTTTCCCCAAAAAAGATATTTGCATTGCCAGCTAGAATTGCAGAGCATGTAATTACTATTCAGTTACAAATACTCGTAGTTATTGCTAAGTAATTACTGTTTACTAGTAATCAAATATGATTGTTTCAGAACAAATGCATGTCTTAAAAACATACAGAAGAGCACTTTTAAAAATGGACATTCTTTGATCTTTTAATACTCTTCTGTGTCTTTTTATTTGCTTTGGCCTTCACGGAACAGCCACTTTTTATCTTGTCATTTCAGTAAGTATAATGTTTTTTATTCTTTTCATCACTGTTATTATTTCAGCATATGAAATCCCCCTCAGTTTCCTGTCTGGATGTTGACTCCTCCCCTCCCACCAATGTCCCCATCCCCTCTGCATTGACACCATCCACTCCCGTCAAATCACATCGTCGATCAATCTCCTGTGGCAACAATCCCACCAATAACAACAAAGGTTCTGGGCCTGATATGCGGATCGTCAGGATACGGATGGATTTACAAGATGGGAATATGTACAGAAGCATACTGGTACTGAGCCGAGATAATGAGTTGAGATTTGATTTGAGATATTTGCTTTTTTTTCGTTTTCAAATTATACACTGCACTGCACCCCGCACTGATGACTATTTATTTGAATCCTCAAATATCCGTAAATGATAGTAATCCAAAAACATTTCCTCAGGTTGTACACAGGATATTATAACTTGGAGTCTAGCTGTCTGGTATCGTTGTCGTTCTTCTCTGTTTCCTTAGGTGACAAGCAATGACAAGACGCCCATTGTGATCAGTTCTGCCTTAGAAAAACACAGTCAGGACCCCAAACAGGCATCCAGATATGAGCTGATCCAACTATTGCCCGAGGGGAAAGGTAAAGACATTTCTCAACCCCGACCATGGGAAGTCACTTTAACAGTTCTCTTTTCATATTGATTGTAGTGATGACTTTTCTTGTTCTGCCCTGTAGAGTTGGTCATCCCTGCCACAGGAAACGTTTTCTATGCCATGACTTCCTCTAGTGTGGACTTCCTGCTGCGCAGAAAAGGAGGCAACACCCCTTTTGGCTCTCAACCAATCAGCACAGAAACCAGTGCCACCTTCCCTCGAATCAAAGCCAAGGGACGGAGACTGGTCAGAACTCTTTTTTGACAACAGCTCTTTCCCAAATAGGCTATATTCGAGACATATTGTAGCTAGTTGTTCTCAAGGACAGGTCACGATAAAAATACAGGCAGATATCGCAATGAGATGTGGCCTTGTCTTTCCTAACCTTTTATGAAAGTGGAAACACACATTCTGACCGAGCTTGTTCTAGCAAAATGTATCCTGAAACCTGTCCGAACTTGTTTGATGAACGACTTCTTACCTGGGACACTTCAATAAATATGCTGCCCATTTGTGTACACTAGGGAACTCCATTAGTGTAGAAGGGTGCATGTCTCTCTTGTTGGCAATGCATACTACTGCCAACATACACCTAGAACAAGACCAATGCAAACCTTTAACAGATGGTGAATGGTGCTGTTTCTTAAGTCTCTCTGACCATTGGCATCTAATTTCCCATTTAACCAAATGGAATAGCCTTGTGACCAAGAGCAACTGAGGAATCCAAATCATCTTGAGCATTTGAGGAATGTACCTCAGGTGCCATCATAGATGAGTTGATAGTAGAGAACTTCATTAAATCAAAGTAGTTTGGGCGATATGACCTCCTGAATTGACCATGACCACAACAAAGTTTTACATTTCTCCATAGAGAATGGATACAAGCAGCATGATGACATATTATGCAAGGCGTTTCAAGAATATGAATTATGGGGAGAGCACTGGGCTGACATTATGACATAATGCATCTGAATAAGAGTGACAGAGTCACTGAAACCTCTCATTATAGCAAAGCACAGGGGCTCATCAAAATGTTTTAACTATGTACTTTATATGTATGTATGTATATGTTTTTTTATGTATGGACGATGTCATGATTGTGTTTACATTCACAAGGAGCTATCAACAAGTGTCAGAATTACATGTTATTCATTGTGAAGTAACATGAAATGTATGAAATTGACCCAAATTGCAACAATTTCAAATGGGTCAAGACGTGTCAAAGATAAACATGATAATTTAACTTGGGTTGGTGCATACATATTGACTGATAGTTCTGGTAGTATCTTATGTAAGATACAACAACTTTACATATACAGCCTTGCCACTCCCATATACAGTGAGTGAAAAAAGTATTTGATCCCCTGCTGATTTTGTACGTTTGCCCAATGACAAAGAAATTATCAGTCTATAATTTTAATGGTAGGTTTATTTCAACAGTGAGAGACAGAATAACAACAAAAAAATCCAGAAAAACGCATGTCAAAAATGTTAAAAATTGATTTGCATTTTAATGAGGGAAATAAGTATTAGATCCCCTCTCAATCAGAAAGATTTCTGTCTCCCAGGTGTCTTTTATACAGGTAACGAGCTGAGATTAGGAGCACACTCTTAAAGGGAGTGCTCCTAATCTCAGTTTGTTACCTGTATAAAAGACACCTGTCCACAGAAGCAATCAATCAATCGGATTCCAAAATCTCCACCATGGCCAAGACCAAAGAGCTCTCCAAGGATGTCAGGGACAAGATTGTAGATCTACACAAGGCTGGAATGGGCTACAAGACCATCGCCAAGCAGCTTGGTGAGAAGGTGACAACAGTTGGTGCGATTATTCGTAAATGGAAGAAACACAAAAGAACTGTCAATCTCCCTCGGCCTGGGGCTCCTTGCAAGATCTCACCTTGTGGAGTTGCAATGATCATGAGAACGGTGAGGAATCAGCCCAGAACTACACGGGAGGATCTTGTCAATGATCTCAAGGCAGCTGGGACCATAGTCACCAAGAAAGCAATTGGTAACACACTACGTCATGAAGGACTGAAATCCTGCAGCGCCCGCAAGGTCCCCCTGCTCAAGAAAGCACATATACAGGCCCGTCTGAAGTTTGCCAATGAACATCTGAATGATTCAGAGGAGAACTGGGTGAAAGTGTTGTGGTCAGATGAGACCAAAATATAGCTCTTTGGCATCAACTCAACTCGCCGTGTTTGGAGGAGGAGGAATGCTGCCTATGACCCCAAGAACACCATCCCCACTGTCAAACATGGAGGTGGAAACATTATGCTTTTGGGGTGTTTTTCTGCTAAGGGGACAGGACAACTTCACCGCATCAAAGGGACGATGGACCGTCAAATCTTGGGTGAGAACCTCCTTCCCTCAGCCAGGGCATTGAAAATGGGTTGTGGATGGGCATGACAATAACCCAAAACACATGGCCAAGGCAACAAAGGAGTGGCTCAAGAAGGAGCACATTAAGGTGGCCTAGCCAATCTCCAGACCTTAATCCCATAGAAAATCTGTGGAGGGAGCTGAAGGTTCGAGTTGCCAAACGTCAGCCTCGAAAACCTTAATGACTTGGAGAAGATCTGCAAAGAGGAGTGGGACAAAATCCCTCCTGAGATGTGTGCAAACCTGGTGGCCAACTACAAGAAACGTCTGACCTCTGTGATTGCCAACAAGGGTTTTGCCACCAAGTACTAAGTCATGTTTTGCAGAGGGGTCAAATACTTATTTCCCTCATTAAAATGCAAATCAATTTATAACATTTTTGACATGCGTTTTTCTGGATTTTTTTGTTGTTATTCTGTCTCTCACTGTTCAAATAAACCTACCATTAAAATTATAGACTGATCATGTCTTTGTCAGTGGGCAAACGTACAAAATCAGCAGGGGATCAAATACTTTTTCCCCTCACTGTAGAATCTAGTCATATTTTGAGTATTAACCATTATGCATAACAGCATCAACCCACAAACTCTAACCTAAACAATTAATGTGAAGACACTTATGAAAGTCCAAACTATGTTGTGCCTATTGAAAAGATGTCTACCATTGCATCTTAATGTTATACTTTTCAATACAGCATAAGCTAATCTTTATCAATGGTCTCTGAATGGGTTTAGTTGGTAATTGGAATGGAAGTCTGTCTGAAGTGTACTTCAACCAGGGCTCCCAAAGTCAGTCCTCAAAGACCCATGTGAGGTTAGCGTGTGATTCTCACCAATCACTGAATGATGTTTAATTTATATTTTCACAGATGTTTAATAGAGATCTGACAGCTATAAGGTTTCATTATGCAATGTCTTTAATCCAGGAACTGAATGTAGAGGGTGTTGCAGAAGGCTATGCTTCTATCCCATGAGGATGAGACCAGTTGGAAGAAAAACCTGTATGCATAAGTGGGCATGGGGAACAGATTGTGGGAGGCCCTAATTGATGAACTATTGTGAACTCTGGCCATACTACCCAATGCTGTTGAAGTCTCTACTAAGGCTGAGGCATAGATACGGTAGTGCCAGGGAGAGGATTCTGGGTAACGTAATTTGATGAAGTGTTAGCGCCAGGCTAAGCTACTGATTGTTTAGTGCCTTTCTCTCATTGGTGCTTGAACCTCTTAAAGTGTCCCAAATGGCACCCTATTCCCTATATAGTGTTTTACTTTTCACCAGAGCCCTATGGGCCCTGGTAAAAAGTAGTGCGCTTAATAGGATGCCATTTGACATGAAGCCTCTGTGATGTATGCATTGGAATGTACAGTACATATGGTTGTGAATTCCCTCACTCACAGTTCTGTATAAGCTGGCATGTTTATGCACTACATATGTCCTATTATTTTTGTGTGATACATTTCCTTTTTATATGAATGCATTTTGACGTGACAGTTATATGAAGACTTTCTATGCAACTCCCCAGATGTGTGCTGTAATAATGCTGTGTCTACTCTTATCAAATAAATGTACATAGATGTACATATAAAAGATTCAGACTGTGGTTTAGTATCTAGCTTGTTGGTGGATGAGGAAGTCTAATGAAGAACATTATGTAAAACATTTGTGCACCCCGCAACAACAGTACTTTATTTGGACAGAAGACAGTCAGTATCTTTGCCTGTTTCAAGCTAAAAGCTGAAAACGTCACCAAACATTTGACTAAAAAGTACAATAGAAATAAAGAAAAACCATTTCACATACTTTAACAATCATTTTTTGAAATCATTTGTCACATAAAAAAAGGTTGAAAACAAACGCATATATAATGTGAAAAAAACATACCTGAGATCACAATCAACATTGCCTAGTCATTAGCAACACATAGAACAGTAGCCTATGCAGCAAAGTGCTTATTGTTTTATGATTATAGGAGTGCCACCTCCCTTTCAAGTATGTTTCTTTTCATGACAATTTATGAAACACTCCAAAACGTATTAATCAACATTCTATGGGGTACCTTGTTCATGGAGCTCAATAATACTAACAAACCTAGCTTCTCAGTGAACTGTGTGCATACTAGTAACTTTCCACTGATGCCACACCGATGCTTACTGATTCATATCTCCCTGGTAGTGCCTTGCATCCTCTACGGCCATATCACACCCGCTAGTCCCTCCCCCGCACATCTCACACTCCAGCGCCGCTGTCCGATAGGCCTTCCACACCGTGGCGTCCTGCAGACACACCGTCCCGCCCCCTCTCTTCTCCTCAGCCTCGTTCCGGTTGATGTCGCCCACACACACCCAGCCAGAAGCTCCATCCACCCCACCCCCGGTGGTACTCACGGCCCACTTGGAGTGGTCGTTGGAGGCCTTGAAGGTGATCCTCCCACCTGGGGAGATAAGCTGGATGTCTAGGACCTTCCAGCCCAGGGAGCAGTCAGAGGGCAGGATGCCAGTGGAGTGGATCCAGAACTGGACTAGGAGGTCTGACTGGAGGGAAGGAGCCACCCAGGAGTGGTACAGATCTAATGGGAAACAGGAGGAGGGGAAATGGGGATATAGTGGTTAAATGTTGGGTCATTCACAACCACAAAATGGCAATGACATGAATAGTCATTCTAACCATGAAACAACACTTCAACAGTACAAAAACGTACAAACTAATAGTTTCTAAATTGTTCCTTACCATTATTGAATGATCCCCCCTTGGCGAAGCTGATGAACTCGGTTCCACCTAATGAGGTAAGAGACACACTGCGATTGGATGCAGGTTGGGTGTGCGTTAAGCTGCTATAGGCCATCTGCCCTTGGCTGTTGTTACAGACGTCAGCCAGCGCGGGCACCAGAGAGGCCAAGGAAGCAGGGACACCACAGTCATACACATTGGGCTGGTTGATCTGCAACTGCTCTCCTGCAATGTAAAACATAATACATGTCAATTGAACACTTCAAACATATCAATCAATTAATTATGTCAAAAGTAAAGCAAATAATTATGAATTGACTGATCAATCTGTCTGTCTGATTCAATAGGCACCAAGTTCCAAGACAAGTACTATCTTAATCTAGAACATGACTTATCAGTATGACGACTTTTCAAATTCTTCAAACAGAGTAGCAGACAAATGCCTGTACATATAAGACCACTGACTGTGGCTAAAATGAGATTGAAAATGTTTTAAGACAAGACAATGCTTTGAGGACAATGGAAGTTAGCCTCCACTGAGAACTCCCATCACAATTGAATGACACTCATCTTAAACTGAACAAAAATATATCCCAAAAATGTTCCATACTCACAAAAAGTACGGGCAGGCATAAGCCACGGACCACGAACACAATTGCATTTTATCAGTGGCAATTTGAACGCACAGAGATACCATGACAAGATCCTGAGGCCCATTGTAATGCCATTCATCCGCCGCCATCACCTCATGTTTCAGCATGATAATGCATGGCCTCATGTCACAAGGATCTGTACACAATTTCTGGATGCTAAAAATGTCCCAGTTCTTCCATGGCCTGCATACTCACCAGAAATGTTGCGTTTATATTTTTGTTCAGTATAACTCCACGAGAGACATGAAACTTACAGAGCAAACATCGCACAGCGGGAGGAGTATGGTTACAGTGCCATTGAGGATAACCCTATCTGTCACTATGGTAACAGCACCATTTGCTAGCCAAGTTGTAGTGGTACTTGCTACTACAATAGGCTAAAATGCTAATGACCTAAATTATTTATGCAAATGTTATTTTTGGTTCACAATTGTTGTGTCAATATTAATGTGGCTTTATTAACTGTAGCATAATAATGAGTTCATTGTCATTTTTAAGTTCATTGCATTCAGTGATATTCAGTGATAGGGGCAGCAGTACTTTATCATTAGAGACCAACTATTACTGTTCAGAATAACTATGACATAGCACTTAGTTTGTAGGGTCAGCAATAGTAGTACGGCACCCTTGGAGAAAATTTGGGTTAAGTGCCTTGCTCAAGGGTATGTCGACAGATTTTCCACCTTGTCGGCTCGGGGTTGTACGCACAGAGAGTTTGTCTCAGCATGAAACAGTTGCATGAAATAGAACACAGTTGTGTCTTCATGACACAATTCACAGTTTCTTGCATTATAACAGGGTGGATAATCCAAGCTACTTTTTCAGAATTCTATGGTAAACCTATAGTGTTCCAAATGACTTTTCCAGGATTACAGTCTCACCAATTGTCTGAAAGCGTTCCAGTGGGTAGGTCACACAGATGAAGTTCTGTCCATACTGTACACCACTACCTGGGTAGGAATATTGCCCTATTTCCTTTACAGGGGGGAAATGAGGGGTGCTGTGGACCAACCAATAGCCCTGTGTCTTGTCCAATAAGACAACACCTGAGATGGAGAGAGGGAGATAACAGTAATTCATTGAAAACTGAATCATTTCACAACAGTACATAGTCTCTTGACAGACGAAAACATTAACATGCTACAAAGGGAGTAGCTGGCCAGAGGCCTGGGTGCTGAGATTAACATTATAATGTAATGCCTGTATACAGTATACAGCTGAGGTTTATATTGTCCTGACCTTTAGTGTGGCCACCTCGGCTACTAAGGAGACCAAATCCCCTTTCTCCCTCCTCGGGTGGTCTCTGGTCATTATACAGGATGTATGCAATGTCACCATTCTGCACAAACACAGGACAATACACACACTCATCATCAGAAAATACACATTTTCATGCATATTGCACACTCTTAACTCAGAAACAAACAGGGGTTATATTGTCAATAGTGTTTCTTCTTTGATAACATGTCATATGCTGTATTTATTTATCACGGCTGTCTGGGTGAAAAGAAAACTCCAATTGCACCTTAGTGAAAATTAGACAGTGAAAGAAACCCACAAAAATAGTTCTACATTTAGATTTTTTGTGTAATTCTGTCTCATTCCACTGTGACAAAGAATTCACTGAGGGAACAGCTACCAAAAACAAAACCTCAGCAGTGGTAAATACTGCTATGTGTTACTGCAAATGAAACCGTTAACGGAAAATCCACTCAAAAACTATATTTTGCTAATTATTTTCATTTGTCCACTGTTGAAACAGTCCCAAAATGGTTTGCATGTCAGCGGTCAAGTTTTCAAGATATTGGACTTTCAAGAGAAACCGGCCACATAATCATGAAAAAACATTTTAGGACTGTATCAACAGACGACTCATTAAAAAAATACCAAAATAAAAAACAAAATAGCCTAATCTTCATGACTAATGTTCAAACTTAGCCGTCAAACAGTGTCAAGGTTCCGGTCTAATGCTTCTAAAAATGTTCGGCATAACCGTGTTCATGTTTCAGTGGATTTTCCCTTTCAGTTTCACAGTTCATTCAAATGTGGTCTGCTATTGATAATAGAAGGAACCAGACCTTCCCCTGCTCATACAGCTGGCCCACTGTCCTCCCCAGGGCTCCAGTACTGTCATTCACCAACCCTTTTCCATCTGTCCATCCCTCGCTCCCTTTGTCCATCAGTAGATAACTCTGTCCATCGGTGGGAGATTCTCGATCAACATGGGGGAATTTGTAGAGATAGAACCTGAAAGAGAGAGAGAGAGAGAGAGAGAGAGAGAGAGAGAGAGAGAGAGAGAGAGAGAGAGAGAGAGAGAGAGAGAGAGAGAGAGAGAGAGAGAGAGAGAGAGAGAGAGAGAGTTTGATTCTCAGTACTGTGTGTTGTTTTAGCATACATTGCTATGCACACTGTATGTGACTAAGTAAGTAGCTAACAGACCTAAGGGAAGATGGAGGTCATATCAGTTCAATCTTCAGTCTGCCCAAAACGGTTCTCACCAGTCAACAGCTTCCCCTTGATCATTGTAACAGGAGATAGGTGAGGTGCCTCCCTCTCCTGGTTGAAACAGGATCAGCAGGACAACAAATGACAACATCTGAAGGAAAAGCAATGAGGTCAAAATAGTTTTAGGAACTGTGTAAAACTACTGCCAAAATGAAAACTTCAACATTTGTTGACTACAATGGAAAAGGGATGGCTTTAGAACAAGAAGAGAACGCTGCGATGCATTACAAATTGCAACAGTGGTCAATAGTCGATCTTACAATTATGTTACAATATTGTTACAATGTTGTTACAACGTATCTGAAGTAAACTAACAAAAAGTATCACATTTTGCATTGATTTGATATCTAATTGATTGATCAACTGCGTAAGAATCAATTAGAATAACCCATGCAAACGAAACCTACAGCCCCCTCAAACTCAACTCTGGACGAAGCTATTTCCACTGCGTTTTTTTGGTTCCCCTCTAATCAGGAGGGACTGATTCAGACCTGTGACACAAGGTGTGCGCAAATAATGATCAGGTAGAACAGAAAACCAGCAGGCTCCGGACCTCGTAGAGTAAGAAAGAGTTGAATACCCCTGCTATAGCCTTTGCACAATGTGTCCCACTGTAAGGTTTATTGATTTCTAGAGCAACACTTAGCCTACCTTTGAGTAGATAAGAACTTGATAAGTACGGTGATTCTACAGCTTTTCCGTATCCGCGTGATCTTTGATAGTGTCGAACTATTCCATTTCTAAAGTCGAGATGCATCCTAGTTTTGAACTATGACGTTCCGGGGCGGGCTTTTGGTCACGAGTTCATGACAATAGCTTGCATTAGCTACCCTTCTGCTAGCTCTGGTCCAGGGCGTTAGTGCGCCTTCAACGCGTAGTGGAGGAACTCGCACTAACGCCCTTGACCAGAGGTACCCTTCTGCCTTCTACACATGGGGAAAATCTATTAATTTAAATGGAATTAGAGCATATATGACCATAAAACAAGCCACAAACGTATCATACATATTGATTGGATACATATTTAATGGTCAAGTGTGTTTTCATTGCTGTTGTCAACAATGGTTGACAGTTTAGGGATGGAGTTGATACATTTCCACTGTACTGTGGAAAATGTATCCTCAGCACATATAGGCTAGCCTAACAGCCTACTTGTCTCTGAAAAGTTGACTTCTGTAAACAGCACTAGTGCATTGCAACACTGTAATGTAAAGGCAGATATCTTTCTTTTGACAAATGAATAATTGCCTGTGATTGAGAACCTCAACATTCTGAAGAAAGCACCATTATGCACACATTATAAAGAAATTAGACCTTCTTTACATAATTATGTCACTCTCTCTTTCATTGGATTCCAGGAAATGCTACCAGACTACTGTATGATCTATTACACACCCAACCCCCCAAAGATTGCTTTGATGACAAGCTGTAGGTCAGTGTATAGCTTACACTTTTGGTTGGTTTGTTGACATCTTTCTCAATGCCTGTCTCGTGCCTTTCTTTCACAATTGCATCTATTTTATGTCTTTATCTTTTCATGTCTTTTAGTTCCTCCTTTTGATATCTCACCAAAAAAGTTTCTCTGTCTTTGTGACTTCCATGTTAACAAATGGAAAATAAAGTCTAGAAGGCTAAAGAAAGTTAAAGAAAGTACCCCACTTCAAGTTCCTTGTGTTGCACAGAGCATACTTAGCATTTTATCTTCAAGCAGCCAGTTGTAATAATAATAATAATATGCCATTTAGCAGACGCTTTTATCCAAAGCGACTTACAGTCATATGATATAACTTTTCACACTTTGAGGAACCGCAATAACAAGTATTCTTCCTCATCACTTACCACCTTCACCGCTGTAGTGTATTAGGATTATGTCTTTGTTAATGGTTTTTAAGTGGAACTGAAGGGATGTTTATTTTAGTTCAAAAGTAGCCATTTGTAGGGTGACGCCCCAGGGGAGACAGGTGATTGGACAGCAGAGGGAGCAACCCATATTTTTGCATTCTTTATAAGTATAGGCTGGAGGCAGAGGGGGTTAGAACAGACAGATTATCTTTGGACACTGTTCTCCAGCCCGGCAGGGTCTGTAAACTTATGCTGAAATCTTGTGATATTAATAAAACTTATGATCAAGGTTCAGTATGAGCGGACTCCTTTGTTTGACAGCAATAATTACCAGCATCGACGCGATACGACACCGCCTAGACAGTTCAAGACTTCCTCCGAAAGTTGCTGTCTCAGTTGGAGTGGACTGGAGCCCTCAATAGCTCTGTGGGGTCTCTAGACAGAGGCTGTGGGGCTTTATCGTAAGCGTTCTCAGAGAACAACTAGAAACACTCTTGGTGCAGGTCAAACATTTAACGCTTAGTTTATTCTCGTGAGGAGCTTTATTCAAATACAAGATGGAAACACAATCAAACACTCTCATTCATATTCATTCACTGCTGTGCTGAGCAAAACTCATTTCCTCATCACAATAAATACATTTAAAGCACCCCAAAGCTTAGGGGCATTTTGAATATCATCCAAATTATTGTGCAGTCAACATACAAATCTACCCACTCTGTAAGCTTAATATCGTACAACAAACATTGTAATTAGTCTATATAGCATTATGCAGCTGAATTGACGCCTCTATTATTCACATACCATTTTTTAAATTAAATTACTGATGCAGTCATCGATACAGATGGTACTGTCAACTCAGACCATAACAGAACAAAATGGTCATGCCTGGTCTGGCAAGGTGAATAAGAAGCAAAAGCCATGGCACTATAGGGCTACACCACATGGTCCGAGTCATCTCTCCAGCATGTGCATCTCTCAGGTTCCCAGAATCCCAGGCAGCTCAGTCCTCTGGTCCTCCATGCGTCCTCCCTGGACACTCAGCAGTAAGGAAAAGAAGTCTTCATCATCCATGGGGCCCGGGGCCGCACTGCGCTGCTCCTCCAGCCTACCCTGGGCCTGAGGAACAGAGACAGACAGAAACACCACATGACATGATGCCTATTTTACACTGGACCTGAGGTATGGAGACGGGACATTACACCTACGTAACACCACATGACATGATGCTAATACACCATATGACATGATATGTTGTTACACCATACAACATAATACCCAATACCCATGTTACAGCACGACATACAGGTGTAGGATATTCATTTGACCAGTATTGTCGCAGTAAAATAATCCTGCAGCAACAGCATTTGAATGTTTAGTCTATAATATTGCTTGATCGGTGGTTAGGCTATTAGCTGGCCAAAATTAAGCTACAGCGCATTCGGAAAGTATTCAGACCCCTTGACTTTTTCCACATTTTGTTAAGTTACAGCCTTATTCAAACATTGTCATCAATACCCCATAATGACAAAGCACAAACTGGTTTGTAGAAATGTTAGCACATTTATTAAAAATAAAAAACTGAAAAATTAATTTACATAAGTATTCAGACTCTTTACTCGGTACTTTGTTAAAGCACATTTGACAGCAATTACAGCCTCGAGTCTTCTTGGGTATGACACTACAAGCTTGGCACACCTGTATTTGGGGAGTTTCTCCAATTCTTCTTTGCAGATCCTCTCAAGCTCTGTCAGGTTGGATGGGGAGCGTCGCTGCACAGCTATTTTCTGTTCTCTCCAGCGATGTTCGATCACGTTCAAGTCCGGGCTCTGGCTGGGCCACTCAAGGACATTCTGAGACTTGTCCCGAAGCCACTCCTACGTTGACTTGGCTGTGTGCTTAGGGTCATTGTTCTGTTGGAAGGTGAACCTTCACCCCAGTCTGAGGTCCTGAGCGCTCTGGAGCAGGTTTTCATCAAGGATCTCTCTGTACTTTGCTCCGTTCATCTTTCCCTCGATCCTGACTAGTCTCCCAGTCCCTGCAGCTGAAAAACATCCCCACAGCATGATGCTGCCACCAGCATGCTTCACCGTAGGGATGGTGCCAGGTTTCCTCCAGACGTGACCAGTGGCGGCTCCTGAACAAATTCTCAGGGAGGGCAATTTTTCTGATGATTTAGGTGACCTACACACATTTTTAAAAAGATATGTCCAGCAACAACATGAAGACAGGGGCAGCATATAAGTCAATACCAGAAGCATTTATTGACTGATCTCAAAAGTGTTGGCTTACAAAAGCAAAATAAGTTATCACAGTAAAAATAATCAAGGGTGTTCTTTCACATTCCTCAACACTGCATAAACAATATGCATTTCCATAAACAAATGAAATATCAGCTGAAAATACAGCATCTTGGTATTTGTTCAGATTGCAGGATCAACAAGAGCTTTTACCACATTTTTTGATATCTGTTTAATCTTACCTTATGGCCTGCACTTGCTTGTGAAGCTGTCGAGGGCACGTTTGATAGAGACAGCATCGATGTCCTTCTTCTGTAGCTTCTGGTACAGAATGTCGACGTGGGGCATGATTTTGTGAAAAAGCCGCAGGAAAAAAATTAAATCTTCATCATGTAGTATCCTCACGTAGCCAGCTGCCTCTCTCAAGGTGTGCTGGTCAAATGAACCCAATGAACCCGTCCGGATGGCTTCAAAACATTATATGAGGTCGTCTCGATTCTCGTAGACAGTGTTCACGACTCTGCTGTTGCTAACCTCATCGTTGTGGCGGCGGACAGCTAGCCTGTATCCCTCATCCAGTTGAGTGGCAATATTCACTCTCCCAAAAGCAGACAATCTCAAACAGCTATATGTGGGTCTTTGACAGCTAATTTTTCTTAATCTTTTCTGAAAGATGGTGCATGTCGGTTACACCAGTCGCTGTCCAAGCGGTGCTGTCTGCTGTGCCGCCTTCAGGGTGGAAGAGTAAGCAGGGGTAGCAAAAAACTGCATTAGCTACATCGCAGCCTGCTAGCCAGGTTTTCCGTTCATACCAATTTTTGGAAAATCCTCGGGTGTAGGACTTCCCCCCTTTAGTAGACACCTGTTGAATTATTAAATTTGGTCTGGGGGGTCCTAATTGTTTCGTTGCCAATTTATCTTCATTTGTTCGCCGACAAAAAGGAACTTCTTTCAAACACACAATCGAGTTGGACTGAAGCCTAGCCATTTTGATAGTAGTAGTGAATTGAATGAGGCTGCTACCTGGTCTTTTCTTAGTTACGTTCATTCGTGGTTACGTTATGTATGACGAAAGCGCGTAAGTGCAAGCCCACAGACACCCATAGAGAATGTATTGAAAGCTTTGAAATGTGACAAAACTAGATTTTACATGGGAGTCTATGACAGACTTCTGGGCGATTTTCAACCTGACTGAAATCGCCCAAAAAACGGGCGGGGCCATTTGAAGCACGACTTTAGCCTGATTTGACATTTAGTGGCTGGCAGATCAGACGTGAACACTGATAACTGCTGTTGCCGTGATATAATTTTTTATAAATTTATAAAAAAAAAATATTTTTTTTTATTTAATTTTTTTTAAAATAATTGATTAGAAAAAAAATCCCTTCCTTTTCCCGTTTGGCAGTGCGTCGCCCATATCGCCCTATTGAACAAGCCGTCCCTGGACGTGACACTTGGCATTCAGGCCAAAGAGTTCAATCTTGGTTTCATTAAACCAGAGAATCTTTAGGTGCCTTTTGACAAACTCCAAGCGGGCTGTCATGTGCCTTTTACTGAGGATTGGCTTCCGTCTGGCCACTCTACCATAAAGGCTGATTGGTGGAGTGCTGCAGAGATGGTTGTCCTTCTGGAAGGATCTCCCATCTCCACAGAGGAACTCTGGAGCTCTGTCAGAGTGACCATCGGGTTCTTGGTCACCTCTCTGACCATGTCCCGTTTCCCCTGATTGCTCAGTTTGGCCAGGCGGCCAGCTCTAGGAAGAGTCTTGGTGGTTCCAAACTTCTTCCATTTAAGAACGATGGAGGCCACTGCGTTCTTGGGGACCTTCAATGCTGCAGAAATGTTTTGGTACCCTTCCCCAGATCTGTGCCTCGACACAATCCTGTCTCGGAGCTCTACAGACAATTCCTTCGACTTCATGGCTTGGTTTTTGCTCTGACATGCACTGTCAACTGTGGGACCTCATATAGACAGGTGTGTGCTTTTTCAAATCATGTCCAATCAATTGAATTTACCACAGGTGGACTCCAATCAATTTGTAGAAACATCTCAAGGATGATCAATGGAAACAGGATGCACCTGAGCTCAATTTCAAATCTCATAGCAAAGGGTCTGAATACTTATGTAAGGTATTTCTGTTTTCTATTTTTAATACATTTGGTAAAATTTATTTAAACCTGTTTTCACTTTGTCATTATGGGGTATTGTGTGTAGATTGCTGAGATTTGTATTTATTTAATCCATTTTAGAATAATGCTGTAACGTAACAAAATATGGAAAAAGTCAAGGGGTCTGAATAGTTTCCGAATGCACTGTACATGAAAAGTGCAATACTGTTAATATAACTTTGTGTTAGTGCGGATTTTCCGTTAACCATATGACATGATGCCTTCATGATATTTTGCTTATGACTAGAACAAAATAATGTTTTGGTCAAATTGACTACTGGCAGCTTTGGTGATTACAGTTACTTACTTGCGAGATGAGAATCATATTGTACAAGTCCTCGTTATGCACTGCAATTGGAGCAGACTTTTTAGGCTTTGTATCTTTTACGCTGCTCCTCTTCTTATTGGCTTTCGACTTAGGGGGTGGGGTGTCATGTAGTTCCGCCCGCTGGTCATCAAGCCGACGACCTTGGGAAGTAGCCACCAAGTCAAAGAATTCATCTTTCTGCAGCGAAGTCATTGAGGAGAAATGCACTGTTGGGAATGGAAGGGGATAAAAGATAGTGGAGACATGCTACATTTAGTGGCCTAGTTCATTTAGTGTCCTAGTTAATCATTCAAACAATATTATTTCAAATGTCACTAATGTACAGAAGACATTCTAATATGTGTCCATGCCACAGTTATATGATAGAAGCGCTTCAATGGATATTGGTACCGTACAGTTATTTACAGCTTTTCCCCATCTGCCATTTAAAATGAGTCAGTGTGTCTACGGTGAAACAAGGGAAGCTAATTGCAACAGTTGTTACAGTGGGGAGAACAAGTATTTGATACACTGCCGATTTTGCAGGTTTTCCTACTTACAAAGCATGTAGAGGTCTGTAATTTTCAAAAAATCCAGAAAATCACATTGTATGATTTTTAAGTAATTAATTTGCATTTTATTGCATGACATAAGTATTTGATCACCTACCAACCAGTAAGAATTCCGGCTCTCACAGACCTGTTCGTTTTTCTTTAAGAAGCCCTACTGTTCTCCACTCATTACCTGTATTAACTACACCTGTTTGAACTCGTTACCTGTATAAAAGACACCTGTCCACACACTCAATCAAACAGACTCCAACCTCTCCACAATGGCCAAGACCAGAGAACTGTGTAAGGACATCAGGGATAAAATTGTAGACCTGCACAAGGCTGGGATGGGCTACAGGACAATAGGCAAGCAGCTTGGTGAGAAGGCAACAACTGTTGGCGCAATTATTAGAAAATGGAAGAAGTTCAAGATGACGATCAATCACCCTTGGTCTGGGGCTCCATGCAAGATCTCACCTCGTGGGGCATCAATGATCATGAGGAAGGTGAGGGATTAGCCCAGAACTACACGGCAGGACCTGGTCAATGACCTGAAGAGAGCTGGGACCACTGTCTCAAAGAAAACCATTAGTAACACACTACGCCGTCATGGATTAAAATCCTACAGCGCACGCAAGGTCCCCCTGCTCGAGCCAGCGCATGTCCAGGCCCGTCTGAAGTTTGCCAATGACCATCTGGATGATCCAGAGGAGGAATGGGAGAAGGTCATGTGGTCTGATGAGACAAAAATATAGCTTTTTGGTCTAAACTCCACTCACTGTGTTTGGAGGAAGAAGAAGGATGAGTACAACCCCAAGAACACCATCCCAACCGTGAAGCATGGAGGTGGAAACATCATTCTTTGGGGATGCTTTTCTGCAAAGGGGACAGGACGACTGCACCGTATTGAGGGGAGGATGGATGGGGCCATGTATCGCGAGATCTTGGCCAACAACCTCCTTCCCTCAGTAAGAGCATTGAAGATGGGTCGTGGCTGGGTCTTCCAGCATGACAACGACCCGAAACACACAGCCAGGGCAACTAAGGAGTGGCTCCGCAAGAAGCATCTCAAGGTCCTGGAATGGCCTAGCCAGTCTCCAGACCTGAACCCAATAGAAAATCTTTGGAGGGAGCTGAAAGTCCGTATTGCCCAGCGACAGCCCCGAAACCTGAAGGATCTGGAGAAGGTCTGTATGGAGGAGTGTGCCAAAATCCCTGCTGCAGTGTGTGCAAACCTGGTCAAGACCTACAGGAAATGTATGATCTCTGTAATTGCAAACAAAGGTTTCTGTACCAAATATTAAGTTCTGCTTTTCTGATGTATCAAATACTTATGTCATGCAATAAAATGCAAATTAATTACTTAAAAATCATACAATGTGATTTTCTGGATTTTTGTTTTAGATTCTGTCTCTCACAGTTGAAGTGTACCTATGATAAAAATTACAGACCTCTACATACTTTGTAAGTAGGAAAACCTGCAAAATCAGCAGTGTATCAAATACTTGTTCTCCCCACTGTATGTTTACAACAGTCACTTAGTTAGTTATCATTACAGGGAGTTTTTTTCCCGTGTTCTTTCACCTCTGTGGGCTGGAATGTAGGTGTTGGGTTCAGAATGGCACCTTCTCCTCCCTCTGAACGAGCTCCGCTGGTCATTGAGTCGTCTTCCTTCTTGCAGAGTAAAGACCAGGTCATACAGCGCGTCTGGGAAATAAGGGGTTAACCGTTGAGCCTGGGAAAGACAGGTGGCAGAAAGAGTGGGCATTATCAAGAACTTCAAAATGGGTGGTATCACTACTCATTTCAAACACGCTGGCATTTCCACACCTACAAATTCTGTAACCACAAAATGAAGGTTGTTTGTTGTTTTTCTATATATGGAAGAAAACCCTTCTACATCAAAAACTAATGCTACATCAAAAATGGTAAGACTGGTATTCTGTCACTAACGGAATTATTGAAATTGTGGGCACAAAGCAAATTGCTATATTTTTTCATAAAAGCAAATGTTATAAACCTGTTTTTGGGCATGCTCTGGGCTCAGCGTATCTTTGGGCAAGTGGTCAAAGGGAAGATGTCTATTTGCGCCAACTTGTAATCCTTGTGATGGTTTGTCCGTCTCCAAATCTTGTTCTGTTATATCCACCATCGCCATCCCCTCTATTTTCGGTCTATCCATTCCTAATGTATCCATCCCTTTAATGTGCTCAACCCCGTCCTCTGTCCCAGTCTCTCCTTTTGCTTTATTTCTTTGGTTGTCCTTTTTTCTTTTGTCTCCATCTCCACTTTCAGTGTTGGCTTTTCCAATCTGTCCATGTCTGGCAGTGGCATCCTCTTCCACACTGGAGTCTTCATCGTTGTTCTGGCCTGTTATTGGCTCTGTCCCTCCCTCAACAACTCTCTCAACATCCACCTCCTTAATTAGATCCTCCAACTGCTCCTCTTCAGCTGTTTCAACTTTGATCTCTGGATATTCCATGACAATATCCATTTATGTCTGTCTCAGTGTAAACCTGACAAAAATTAGATAAGACAAATATATCAACTGAAGTTCTATTGTACATTATGAGGATTGTGGAACTGGTCTAAGAAAATATATTAGGTAATCTCATAGAGTTTATCAAAATGTTAACTCACAACAACACATGTAGAAGACTTCTAGTGTGACACAGACTGAACAGCCACTGTAGCTGTAAGCATAATATGGTATAATCTCAACGGCGGTGTTTATGAAAAACCAGAAGGACTAGTTTCCTGCTCACTTCTTTAAGCACTCAATTCCTATCTTGGATTGTACTTGCCCGCCTGCTAATTATTACCTTATCCACCCACTCTCTCAATAAGTCTATCTTACCTGTGTTTTCCTGGAGTTCAGTTTCTGATAAACATCATTTTCTTGTGTCCACATTGATTAGGTATGGCATCACTGATTCACTAATTGCTATCAGTTATGCTTCACATATCACCGTGACGCGCTCTCTCTGCCTGCCTGTCAGCCCTCTAGTCTCTTCCTGTTCCTCTTACCCCAACCCACCCCTATTTATTTGCCCCTATCCCTCTGCCTCATGGCATTATAAAATATTACTGTAAAAAGTGAAGTGGTGCGATGTTATCAAATAGCCATGTTTTTAACAAAGCCAAAACTCATCATTTGAGATGAACATCCGAAAGGGGAAATTACTAGTTTTGCTCTGCTCATGTTGCATTTTCAGCAGAACAGCATACAGTCAGAAAGCAACATGTTGAAACAGGCACTCTGTTATTCTGAAAGGGGCTGTGGTTTGGCATACTTCCTGTTGACTTGCAGCTAAAGGAGAAGTAGACAAAGTGAGAGAGAGAGAGAGAAAGATATATAGTCAGATGTGAGATGTTGATTATTTTTGGTGAAGTGAGAGAACAGAGAGGGAAATTGTTAATTTGTGTATGTTCATATATGACTTGTCTGAACTATTCTGTAGTTCTAAAACGTGTTCTGCTGTTTATCACCCATTGATGTATGAAACTTTATCACTGTGAATTCATTTGTCAAATCTGTTAAAATTATGGAGTGCATGTATTGTCAGTATTGTCCCAGGTGGTGAGGGTAAGCAACAACACATCTGCCACGCTGACCCTCAAACTCTTTTGACTCATCACATACACAGCTGCTACTGCTTATTATCTATCCTGTTCTCTAGTCACTTTACCCCTACCTATATGTAAATATATCTCAATTACCTCCTAGTACCCCTGGACAATTCAGTGGAGGCTGGTGAGGGGAAAACGGCTCATAATAATGGCCGGAACGGATCAAATGGAATGGCATCAAACACCTGGAAACCATGTGTTTGATGTATTTGATACCATTCCACATCGACACCTTACTGGTACCCCGTGTATATAGCCAAGTTATCGTACCTCATGGTGTATTTATTCCTCGTGTTATTATTTTTCTATTTTTCGCTCTGCATTGTTGGCCCTTAAGTAAGAATTTCACTGTTAGTCTACACCTGTTTTTTACGAAGCATGTGACAAATAAAATGTGATGAAAATATTTTTTTCGATGATTTCATTGGTAAAGACCTGTGACCTTATTTTGAAGTTGATGCATTATTAAATTAGCTGATATGAAATCAGAAGATGATCCCTCGCCCATCATGGATGCAAATGCTCATTGTATTAGGCTACTTTGAGATTGAAAGATCCCCCTCTTCTCTCTTTCTGTTTCTGTCTCTCTCACACACATAGGCCTACACACACAGTTGTCTAATAGTTATATCCATCTACCTGATTGTGTAGAAGACTTACTTAGTTTAAAAGTCATAGCTATGAATATCCCTAGTACAGTAGCCTATGTGCTCTGTCTGGAGTACAATTCGAATTTTATGAACATTCTTGTTAGATACTTTTTCTCTGGTAATCGCTAGGGGACTCTAGTGTTTGAGTTTTGAAGGGTGTGTGACCGTGATTAGTCGCCGGCGCCGCTGTGTGCCGCTCAGGATGTTGCAGCAGCAGGCTCTCACTGGCAACGGGCCCTCTAACGGCCGGGGCCTTGGCCTGAGCTCTCACCCCAGTATGCACCCACTAAACTCGGTTCATCCATCTTCCCACCACCGCTCCGACGGAGACCCGGGCCACGAAGGCGCAGAAAATGGACATGAAAGCCGCAGAGACATTGGTGACATATTGCAACAAATCATGACCATCACCGACCAAAGTTTGGACGAAGCGCAAGCAAAGTTAGTCATAATTTTTACTAACTTATTCAGATTTAGTTACACCTTGCTGCAAAGTGGCTCAATGCCCAAGAGTTAGCTAAAGTTTTCAGAAGTTTTCAAAAAAATAATAACTTTGAAGTGTTTTACTTAGCAAGCTAGGTAGCCAACGTTGCTAGCGAGCTAACTGGCTTTGTTTCATGATACGTTGTTTATTAACTGGTTATTACTTCTTCCCCTGGCCTTTTTACACGCCTTTTGGTGTGAAATTTATAACAAACTATTTTTTTTGGTGGCAAACTCGGAAGAGGGTGAATTCTTGCTAAGCTAAAACTTGCCAGTTAGTTAGTTAGCTAGCTAGCTATGCTCTATTGCTTTATTGTTAGCTTGCTAACTAGCTAATAATGTGTTACTACTAACGCGATGGCCGGTTAGATTTACATGTATATGAATAGCAAGATATTATAAACGGACTGTGGCCATAATCTTGACATTATCCATTTCATGTTACATTTGTTCTACGAATAAGATGTTAACATATTAGCTACATATTGTAGCTGCTGCTAGCTATAGCATTATGTGGCTAAAGTTAGCATAGCAGGCTGCAGTGAACTCCACGTCCAAATGTCACGAACAACAGAGCCGATGTTTGTTGTTGTCGTGAATGTCATCTAGCTAAAGTTAGCTAGCGAAATCAAGCGTGTGAAAGCAGGCAGCTAGCTAACTAAACAAATATTTGTCCGTTTTGTTGGTGCTAATTGCTCGTTGCTAAATAGCTAACTAGATAAACTAGATAGCTAGCTAATAATAACAATCATATTTTTTTCAATCTTCAGAAAACACGCATTGAATTGCCATCGAATGAAACCAGCTTTGTTCAGCGTCTTATGCGAGATCAAAGAGAAAACAGGTAAGTTCATTTTAACTAATTGAAACCCTTTGTTTGATTTAAAACGTGTAGCTAATTCGTTTAAAAGTTTCTGACCATCTGTGATGAAAACAGAGGAAGATGTTGGCTCCATCACAATAATAATGAGTTGTGCATGATCCACGCAGTTACGTTAGATTACTTTTCTCATTTTGCCGCAAGATGAGCCTTCCTTTATTTGTTTCATCCACATAGTGCTTCTCCAAGTCTACCTCAGAGGGAGAATATTTTAATATACACTGAATAAAAATATAAACGCAACATGTAAAGTGTTGGTACCATGTTTCACGAGCTGAAATAAAATATCCCAGATATGTTCCATATGCACATTTCTCTCAAATGTTGTGCACAAATTTGTTTACATAGCTGTTAGTGAGCATTTCTCCTTTGCCAAGATAATCAATCCACCTGACAGGTGTGGCATATCAAGAAGCTGATTAAACAGCATGATCATTACACAGGTGCACCTTGTGCTGAGGACAATAAAAGGCCACTCTAAAATGTGCAGTTATGTCACACAACACAATGCCACAGATGTCTGAAGTTTTGAGGGAGCGTGCAAATGGCATGCTGACTGCAGGAATGTCCACCAGAGCTGTTGCCAGATAAATTAATGTTAATTTCTCTACCATAAGCTGCCTCCAACGTCGTTTTAGAGAATTTGGCAGTATGTCCAACCAGGCTCACAAAAGCAGACCATGTGTAACCATACCAGCCCAGGACCTCCAGATCTGGCTTCTTCACCTGCAGGATCGTCTGAGAACAGCCACCCGGACAGCTGATGAAACTGCGGGAATTCACAACCAAAGAATTTCTGCACAAACTGTCAAAACTGTCTCAGGGAAGCTCATCTGCGTGCTCGTCGTCCTCACCAGGGTCTTGACCTGACTGCAGTTCGGTGTCGTAACCGACTTCAGTGGGCAAATGCTCACCTTCGATGGCCACTGGCATGCTGGAGAAGTGTGCTCTTCACGGATTAATCCCGGTTTCAAATGTACCGGGCAGATGGCAGACAGCGTGTATGGCGTCGTGTGGGCGAGCGGTTTGCTGATGTCAAAGTTGTGAACAGAGCGCCCTATGGTGGCGGTGGGGTTATGGTATGGGCAGGCATAAGCTACGGACAATGAACACAATTGCATTTTATCGATGGGAATTTGAATGCACAGAGAGACCGTGACGAGATCCTGAGGCCCATTGTCGTGGCATTCATCCGCCGCCATCATCTCATGTTTCAGCATGATAATGCACAGCCCCATGTCGCAAGGATCTGTACACAATTCCTGGAAGCTGAAAATGTCCCAGTTCTTCCATGGCCTGCACAATGTCACCCATTGAGCATGTTTGGGATGCTCTGGATCGACGTGTACGACAGTGTGTTCCAGTTCCCGCCAATATCCAGCAACTTCGCACAGCCATTGAAGAGGAGTGGGAAAACATTCCAGAGGCCACAATAAACAGCCTGATCAACTCTATGCAAAGGAGATGTGTCGAGCTGCATGAGGCAAATGGTGGTCACACCAGATACTGACTGGTTTTCTGATCCAAGCCCCTACTTTTTTTTTTAAGGAATCTGTGACCAACAGACGCATATCTGTTTTCCCAGTCATGTGAAATCCATAGATTAGAGCCTAATTAATTAATTTCAATTGACTGATTTCCTTATATGAACTGTAACTCAGTAAAATCTTTGAAATTGTTGCATGTTGTGTTTATATTTTTGTTCAGTGTAATAGGAGACATTGTAACTCTTAATTTACCATGAATCAGATTGACAGACATCTCTTGTTGCAGGCCTATCAATGCGAAATGCTCAGGAGGAAGAATCACAGGACCCACAGCTGGTGCGATTGGACAACATGCTGCTGGCGGAGGGTGTGGCTGGGCCGGAGAAAGGTGGCGGGGCGGCAGCGGCGGTGTCTGCAGCCACCAGCTCCGGAGGGATGTCGCCAGACAGCTCACTGGAGCACTCAGACTACAAAAGCAAGTTGAGCCAGATTCGCAACATCTATCACACTGAGATGGAGAAATATGACCAGGTACTTTTCTAGTTTATTTTTTCTTAAAGCAGTAGGGCAGTCCCACTCCTTTTGTATTGTTTTTTGCTTTATTGAAAAGATAGTAAAGTGTTGGAAAGACAGGGAAGATGGAGGGAGGGTGAGTCAAAGAGCAGTGGTTCGATTCGAACTCATATCGACTCTGGCATACATGTGTGCCGGGGTCAGTCGCTGTACTTGATTTGAAGTGGAGGGACTTGACACTTTGCACATACTGAAAATGACACCCTGTAGCGAAGTAAACCAAAATGAGGTGATGTTATAATTTAGGTGAGAGAGTTGAAGGTGAACATAAATGACAGACGTCAACAGTATCGGCCCGCTATTGACTTCCATCCATATGTGTCTCCAATCCCCCCTCTCTCTCCGTGTCTCCTGTAGGCCTGTAGTGAGTTCACTACCCACGTGATGAACCTGCTGAGGGAGCAGTCGCGTACTCGACCCGTGTCACCCGCGGGAGATCGAGCGCATGGTGGCCATCATCCACCGCAAGTTCAGCTCCATCCAGACACAACTCAAGCAGAGCACCTGCGAGGCCGTCATGATCCTGAGGTCCCGCTTCCTCGACGCCAGGTCAGTGTATAACTCTGTTATTGGGGTGACACAACACCTGTCAAAACTTGCCATGACAGTGAATGACAATTCATATACAGGTATCATTTTTATGAAAAATAAAACATTCCATAAATGAACAGTGGTTCATGGTCATACCACTCATATGTACAGTACATAATCATGTTATTATGGTGCAGGTTGTGAATGACTGTTGTGTGTCAATATCAGTTGTTACTGTAGTTGTGAAATGTACACTTCTGCCTGGGTTGTATGCCCACTCTCAACACACTCACCTTTGTGTTGTCAGGCGTAAGAGACGTAACTTCAGCAAGCAGGCGACGGAAGTCCTGAACGAGTATTTCTACTCCCATCTCTCCAACCCCTACCCCAGTGAAGAGGCCAAAGAAGAACTAGCCAAACAGTGTAGCATCACTGTCTCTCAGGTAACCTTTCTTCATATAATGTATGTCTCTCTCTTTCTGTCCTTACTATTAGCTCATCAATTGATATGTCCATATACTGTTGACCCATTGACCAACCTCTTACTGGCTCTTTACCTGAACAGGTGTGCAACTGGTTTGGCAATAAGAGAATCCGCTACAAGAAGAACATTGGGAAGTTCCAAGAGGAGGCCAATATCTATGCCATGAAGACGGCCATCGTGGCGACACAGAACGAGGACTCTCCACACACACCCAACTCAACAGGTAAGAGCTGAGGAAAGGAAACCAGGCCTAGTGATACACACGGTTTTGAGTTTAAGGTTCAATTGGTAATAGAAATGGATGGGTTGTTAGTGTTTTTGTGTTACGGAGCAGCAAGGGGAACTGCCCCTCTACTTCAGACTATGCTCAAACCCTACCTTCAACCTGCTCTGCCACCTCTGGTCAGCTCCCACTCATCCCATTCAAAGCTCTTCTCTGTCCTGTGCATCCCCCCCCCCCCCCCCCAACCTACCTCTACAAAGAGTACCTTGATTAATCCTACAACACCCCCCCCCCCCCCCCCCCCCCCCCCCAACACTAACAGCCTTGCCTTCTTTGGACTAACACTCGCGCTACTAGCACTGACTATGGTGATTACTTTATTGAGGAAAAATTACTATGACTTCATGTATGCTAATTCAATCGTTATGGAGCGGAGCGCAGACCAAGCGGTAACAGTTTGAACCCAACGCATGGCGCAATACTTGGCTGTGTCATCACACAGTTCCATGGTTAGGGCAGGCAATAGACGAGGGTATAGCCTACTATTTTACACTATTCTCCCTATTATAATTACATGTACACTAATCTTCCAACATTACCATGGGTTAAAGAACTGAATGTGCCAATTTTCAGAATGAATCAAACCACCGTTTTCTTTCTTTTGTGCGTAAAGGCTCTCCAAACCTTTAAAAAATTTTTTATTCATAAATACTTTCCTAACCCTAAATAATCTACAAGATCAGAGTATTTTTAAATCTACTAATTGGTGCTAAAACGGAGACGAATATTCATATATTTATTTAATTGATCCCTAATATTCTATACCCGTTCTCTCGATATATTTTATTGAGTCTGTCAACAAAATTCTAACTAAAAGGTACACCATATTTAAAGGGATGGCTTAAGATAAATGTGCTGAAAACCCTATTGAATGAAAACTCCACGAGAAAATCTGTTGGCCAGCAGTTGGGAGGGTTTTCAGCGGTTGAATTACATTTAATCAGAACCACGTCTGCAAAGCCCGTTACGCAACTGAATAAGGTAAGTCTGAATACCAGCTACTGAGAAGTGCGTAGGAAAGGCGTGCGTAAGAAAGGTGTAATTTCCTAAGTGGGAATCGGGCCTTTTGTGCTGTCTTGCCAACTCCTTGCCCAGACAGTAGAAGTCGGCTTTACAGCACAAACAGATCTGGGACCAGGGTGATGTTGTAGGCCTAATAGCCCCTATTAAAGACGTCTCCCCTTTTGTTCCTCCACAGGATCGGGGGGCTTCTCTCTCACTGGACCAGACCTTTTCCTGGGAGTTCCGCCAATGAATGGAGAACAGCCTGTCTACATGGGAGCGCAAGTATGGAACTCTGTCATTCACTTCATGTTACATATCATCTTTATTTATCATCAGTACCAGGCCCATTCTGGGTAGCTAATTGAGAGCACATTCTCATTCACAACAACAACCTTGGGGAAGTTGTATTGGAGTGGAGAGGGATTAATGTAGGTTAATGGCACTACAAGTCACCACGTCTTTTTCGCCCCCTCTTTTTCTCTTTGGCAGACCAATGGGAACTGGCAAGGACAAAACACGCCCCCCTCTGCCACTTCCCCGGGAAACGACCACTCTGGGGATTCTGACTGATGGTCACACCCCCTTTACGTCGATGACATAGATGGAAAGATTGACAACGGAAAAAGACTGAAAGAATGATATCACTCTTACTTGGCTGCAGTTTTTGTATGTCTTTTCTGTTTCTTACTGTCCGATGATACTGTTCATTATGTTTGTATGAGTTGAATGTGTGTGTGTGTGTGTGTGATGTTTAGTTGGGATCATGGGTTTCGTTTTCCACTACTTTATATGTTACTGTGGTATGTGGGCAGGTAGGCTTGGGAAATTGCATTACCATTGTTTTATTAGGCTATATTATTAATGCTGTTATTACAACTATTTTACGATTTTTGTTTAAAGCTCAGATATAGTTGCATTTAGAGGATGTGGGGGCAATAGAGAAAATCCAAAGATTTTGTGTTTGTTTTCTCTTTTCTACTGGGCTTGTGTGTGTGTGTGTGTGTTTGTCTATATCATGAATGAAGTGTGTGTGCTGGTTATATTAACGGTTTGAATGAATATATCAACTGTGCTGTCATTCTGTACAGTGAGTGAAAAACACCTTTATTCTCTACCTCTTTTACAATAAAGACTCTGTATTCAGTCAGTTGGTCTGTCTTGATTGGTTGATATCAGCATAAGAGACAGGTCACCTCCTAATACGGCAGAAGAAGAAAAAATTGCACATGAATCATTCCATAGTTTATTGATTTAGATATTTAGAGTCAATTAAGTTACTCATTTATTGATTGAGTTTATATCCCGTCTGTCAATCTACTGTTATTTATGGGCAAGGGGCCTGTTACAGAAAATGTAAACAGTACATGATTGACATGATGGTATTTGGGGTCATTTCAGCATGATATCTCACAGCCCAGCCCTGTCCCTTACAAAGCTGTTTGGTTAGAGTCAGGCATGTGGTTATTTAGCTTCTCACTTCGGGCTTTCTGGTCTGTATTTTTAGAGCTTGCTGCCTCAATCTCTGTTGCCGCCCTGCTGGGGTTATCGCTACTATCGACTATTGATCTACGATCTGATTTGGTGGGAGCATCTGTAGGAGGGACCACGATCACTCTTTCTATGGGCTCATTGGCTATTTTCTCTGATAAGGCAACATAAGTCGGTTCGGGCTGGTGTGAACTGGAGCGACGCTGCAGTGCATTCTGGGTACAGGAGAAGGACCGCTGTCGAGGAGCAGGCTGGGGTAACAGGAAGTGCGGTGTCGCTGCTCTCGGGACTTCCTGGGGCCTTTCACGATCTTCGTCCTCTGAGGTAACTTCCTGCAGAGTGCTGATTGGCCGTGGGGGACGCCCCATGATTCTTGGGGTGACCAATGCGGTCACTGATTGATTGAGCTGTGGCCGCCAGTTCTGAGGGGAAGGGCACTGCACTCTGCCCATTGACCAATCACTGTCAAAAGAAGAGGGAGATCATAAGCGTAGGCAGTGATGAATTTGCCTTATCATCAAGATTGGTAAATTGCTAAATGTTATTGTGAGTAGATGTGCCAAATGCCACAAGACCTTACCTTGGTGGAGGCGAGGACATATCCCGATGCCCTATGACACCAGAGAAGGAGGCACTTCTCCCAGGGAGCCCAGGGGAATTCATCCACTGGCTATAGAGCAAGGCACGCTCATCCCACAGCATATCATTGGCTTGCTCCATAGGAATAGGCCCTCTCTGAACCCTGTGAGCCAATAGGAGCTCCAGGACTTGATGATGCATTCCCTCTCGGGCAACATCCAGTGCCCGGCGTCCTCTGCGATCAGACAGATTCTGATTGGCCCCGTTCAGGAGCAGGAACCGGGCGGTGTCGTAGCAACCATGGAGGGCGGAGAGGAACAGAGCAGTCTCACCCTATCAGATAATGGGAGTGGTATATATCAGAGAATGGGAGTGTCGAAGCAATAATATGGGAGAAACCTAAAGTTTAACCATTCTACACAGATTTAACTGTATATAGTTCCTTCGAAGTTCATCTTCCTAAATCTTCATACTAGCATGTGAAGAATCATAAAAGCAGAGGCTTCTGCTGGCCTTGGTACCTTGTTGTCCTGTAGGTCCACTGCAGCACCGTAGCGAGTGAGGGTTCTTGTCAAGGAGAGGTGGTTAACTGAGCATGCCCAGTGGAGGGCTGATCTCCCTGAGAGAGAGAGTGCATTTCAAGTGGAGGAAGGTGAGTGAAGGAAGGTGGGAGTTCAGTACAGAAAGAGAGGGAGTAAGTCAGCCAGTGAACAAACATTATACAACAGAGTCAAGCCCAAAGGGTGAAAGACGAGGAAGAGGGTGATTTTGAAAGAGAGGAAATGGGAATGCAAATGATGGTGAGGGACCAGTGAATCAGCCCGAGAGGGAGAGAGAGAGATAGTGTGAGAGAGAGATAGAGGAAGAGAAAGAGAGAGAGAGAAGAGCAAGGGAGGTTAATATGGTACATCCACACTGCCTGGGCACTAGGGCACATTAACTTCTGTATCGGTTTGAGAGGGGGGCAGAAGGGGTGCTGTAGAGAGGAATGGAAGGGAAGAGTGGGAAGCCATGGAGGTTTTACCAGAACAGAAGAGAAGAGAATGGACACAAAAAGGGACGTGACATGGGGAGGACCAGAGAGAGATGGGGTCAGTTACACTGGTTACTCAACCCCTCAAAGTAATACAATATAGTAATATGTATGTGAGGCAGTGTGTTTATAAGCTCGTTATAACACCTATGGACGCTACATAACATTTATGGGCATTTGTTCCATGCAATATTGATTTTTTAAAATACATTTGCACAATAATCCTCCCATGACACTCTACAGGGAAGTTGAGTTTACTTGGTTTATTTTACCGTTTAGCCTACATTTTGGTTAATAATATCATTGGGAAATTGGGAGAGTAAATTAATACCAGTGTGGTCTGTGTTGTTGACCGGCACCCCAGCTCGTAGCAGCTCCAGAACCACACGGTCAAGCCCACTCCGGACCGCACGAATCAGGACCACTGACCCATCTGGACCACACCACTGAACCGAAGCAGACTGTCAAAATAATGTTTGGTTTGGTCAAAATAGAATACTGTAAATAATAGCCAGCTAAATCTACAATTTAAATAAACATATTGATATTTATGTGAATATTTATGGACACTCACTTGATTGGGTGTTCTGTGATGTGGAGACGGGACAGCATTTCTCTCCCATCCTCTTGGGGGAGCTAAAAGTGGAGCTGAAAGTCAATTTAGTTACATGCTTGTGCAAACCGTAAATTGTGACCAGTTAAAGGCTCTCCAAACCTGTTAATGTAAGGGAATAATTAATAATTTTACAAGCCTATTAATACAGTGTGTTAACCATTATCAGGAGGCGATCTTACGTTGTATGGGTGTTTGTGGGTGGCTCGGAGGGCTGCGGTAGTGCTTCTGCTCTTGAGTTCGGTGGTCACAGATGGACCTGTTGATGTCCTCCATTGAACTCTGGGTAAAGTCAGTGTCACTTCCAATATCCAGGTCCTTTTTTAGGGGCCTGAAATCATACGTTATGCTGTGAATAGCAGTACTTTGTACAGGGGATATGACTACAGTATCACTAATATTGTGTAAAATAGAGATAGTCCAACACAACAGTTTTACCTTACAGACATTGTAAAATGACCCTAATGAAAACAACTGAAAGCCATACAACCCATTACAATGAAGCATACTGTTATCTGATCACAGCACTGTTGATTTGCTAGACTGAACATCCTCTAACTTCTCCCATAATCATTCATCTTCACTCACCGCAGTCGAATGGCATCCTCCCCCAGTGGCTCTCTGCGTCTTTTCTTCTCAGCCTCCTTTGCTTTCTTCTTCTTTATCCCGTTCCTGTCTTTCTCTCTCCCTGTCCTGCCCCTCTGCTCTCGGTGGGGTGTGTGCTGTGCCCATGCCTTGGCCACATGGTCTCCGCTGTCATTCTCAGTGACAGTGGATCTGTGCCTAACCCTCTCTCCTCCTCCTCCTCCTCCTCCTCCTCCTCCTCCAGCACTCTCCGCTCGTCGTCGTCTCACCCTTCTGATCACCAAGACAACCATCAAGACCAAAGCCAGTACCAGGCCCGTTGCCATGCCGATCACAGCCCATAGCCATGGAGGTGTTGCTCCTGTGCGGAGAAGGGGGGCAGAGATATTAGGTGGTACTCACATTTACACACACACACACACAGTCTTACACACACACACACACACAGTTTTACACACACACACACACACACACACACACACACACACACAGTTTTACACACACACACACACACACAAACACTATGTAATAGGATACATACCATTAGTTTCCTCTTTTTCCTCAACTGGGTCCTCCTCTCTCCCTCCTATTTCCTCCCCGACCCCTCTTACACTAATAAGGGCCTTTAATTCTGGGTGAGAGGGGAATGACGCACGAGTCGATGATGTAGCAGCCCGTAGGAAGTTAGCTGCTTCGATGGCGTACGGGAAACAGGTAGAGGGCAGACGGGAGCACGGCCTGTTATCCACTTGCAGGAATAGGAGAGAGCTGTTTGAGAGAGATAGGGAGATTGATGAGATGTTAACCAAAGAGACTAGGTTAAGGTAAAAAATTAGGGTAAGCAAAATCGTAATCTCTTTATAGTTACCCATTTGAGTCATCCGAGGAAGCTTGAGCCAGCAGATTTTCGAGCTGCTGGGGATTAAATGTGAAGAGGTCCTTGCTGGGGTCAAGGGGCGCTGTGCCGCGCAATTTGAGAGGCGTCTGAAGGAGGGTGCTGAGGGCCCAGAGAAGGGAACTGTTGGAGAATGTGCCGTGTTGCAGGGGGACGCGGGTGTGCAGGAGCAGGGTGCCCTTAGCCCACAGAGGGTTGTGGTGCCTGTGACAGTCACTCCCGTCCCAGCCACAGGCTGCGCTTTCGCAGCCCTGGTCACAGTAAGAGTTGGCATAGTGGTCTCGGCAGTAGTGGATGTGGCCTGAACTGAGAGGGGGGATAGTTGGAGGGATGCAGAGAAAGCGTGAACCCCAGTTGAAAAATCTTGATGTATAAAAAAGGAAAGGGAGAGTGATAAAGAGTAAAGAGCAGGGTGTGTTTCATTCCAGGAAGATGTTCTCTCCCCTCTGCCCTTATTCACTCCCCTCACCATGAATATGAGACTACTGGGTAAGAGTTAGTCACCATATTGCTTTCACATATCCAGTCCTGTCAGATCCATGAAGGAGAGTGAACAAAGGGAAGAGGGGATGGAACATCTTCCTGGAATGAAATGTAGCCCAGATCTCCCTGCTGCTACAGTGTCTTACATGCAGTGTCCTTTGTCCCTCAGACAGTCGAACCCGTCTCTCAGACACTCGGGCTCGGTGCACTCCTTATCACATGACCCATCTCCAAACTTGGCCTTACACTGTCTGGACGGACATAGGGCCCAGGGGTCACCACCGGGAGATGCTGCTGCTGATTGGGGAGGAATCACACACACACACAGACACACACACACAAAGGTTAGATTCCAGCTTGACACTAATACACTAACTTAAACTGAATCACTTTGGATAAAAGCATCCATTAATTACAATACTGTATTACTGTATCACGCAAGAACCTGTGCTTTGACCTACATTTTCAAGCTGTGTATTGTGTAGGCCTATGTGTATCTATCACCACCAAGCATTCATTGTTAACAATGCTTGGTACCGTGCAGGCCAGGCAGGCTATGAAAGGTGTGTCCTTGGCATGAAGCATGAAACGGGAAATAGGAGGCCTGACACAAACAGGAAGTTTCCAAGAGAGGCGAATAGCAACAGGAAATGGAGTGGGCTGGGACTGGACGAAGGTCGGAGGTCGTCACCCTGGCGATGAGGAATGTAATGGAGTGGGACAATGGAGAGGCTTGGCAGGTGTGTGAGGGACAATTCAATCACAGCACAGGAGAATTGGGATTAGACATGGTGGACTGTATAGCAGTGACCATTCAAGGAAATGCTGTACAATCTTTGACTGCTATGCAAGCAAAGTACTTTTTGGTTAGTCATATCTTTAAATCAGGGACACATTCAAGCAGCATCTTATAAAGTGATGACGAAAGGATGTGAGAGCAATATATGTCAAGTACGTCACAGTATTTTCTCCTAATGATATATCCTCAGAAATCGATATAACATAGAAGTGAGAACATCAATGTAAAACTAAGTCTGATTTGTTGCTGGACGAACCATGTAGGACTTCCTCTCTGCAGTCGATTACCTAGTAGAGACTCCACCTCACTCTCACAGGTATCTAACATCATATCAACAAGATAATAGCTGGAAGAGGGACTCACCTCGACACCACCTGCTCAAACCCAACAGAACAGCCGTCCACAGCACCAGCATCATTGGGCCAGGCAGGTCCCAGACAGGAGGATGGAGACAGGGCAGTAGACTACTCTCTCTCTCAGTATCCTCACAGCTGTACCAGCGCGGTTACTAGGTCCAATGCCTTGGTCCGGCTATGGCAGGTCCGGCAGGTCTGTACTCCGGCACTTTCACAGTGTTGTGGGGTATCTCTCTGGGTCTCTTCTGGAGAACTTGCTGTCTCACAGCGCTCCTGACCGCGTTCACAATGGGACCGTGTGAACAGTTTATGTCTAAAGTGGTACACCCCAACCTCCAGTGCTGCTACCACCCACCTCCCTCTCTCTAATTATTTTTCAGAAGCACTGCGGATATGTGGACAACTTCCTGCCACTGTGTGGAAAAGAATAGGAACGGGATGTGTGTGTGTGTGTGTGTGTGTGTGTGTGTGTGTGTGTGTGTGTGTGTGTGTGTGTGTGTGTGTGTGTGTGTGTTGTGTGTGAACTTTGTGTGAGTCTGCAGTCTGTTTTTCTACTGATTATAATGCCTCAAGATGTATGTAATCTGTCAAATTAACCAGGCCCTGTATTCATAAAGCATCTCAGAATAGGAGTGCCGATCAAGGTCGCACCTGTTCAGGCAATCACATTCATTATGTTCAAAAAGGCTAAATTGATCATAAATCAGCACTCCTTCTCTGAGACACATTATGAATACAGGTCCAAGAGTAGGGCCCTCACATTTCACTTTTTAAACTTAATAATCTTAATAACATAATCTTATCTACTGGAAATTACAAATAAAACTCTTTCAAAATCTCAAAAAATAGATAATAACCTCCAGGAATGTGGTGGGTCTTAAAATAGACAGATATAGCTGCAGCACTGTATCTGTCTCAAATGAAAGGATGGATCCAGGAACAGGAAACTAGGGGGTTCTACTTTCATCCTTAACCACAGGACTCATCAATTGTACCAAGAAACAGCCTCACAGTAGGTGGTACCACAAAGTTTTGTGCAGTTTCAAGTTTTTGGAGTGGGGAGGTGGGGTGTATATTTCAGGCTAAGGCATACTAGTTACTCATTACCTTCATTTGAGTTATCTGGCCAAAAACCCAAAATATAATTTTTATTTTATTTTTTATGATGAGTTTATATATGTAAAGGGCGAATATGCAACAGATGATCATGTCAATAATGTTTCAATAATGGAGTGGTGATAATGAGATTGATTATCATCATGTAGGTCATCAAGCTTTCCACAAGATGTCGCTATTCAACAGATTCCTTTCAAGTTCCAAGATGACTCAGCCAGTAAGTAATTTACTGTACAACATTTTTAGATATATCAAGCCCTTACACAGTAATCACCTACTCGTTTCACATAAAGTATAGCATAGTATAATTAATCTAAAATCGGCATTTACCAAACTCAGTATGGCATGTCAAGAGGGGGCGGGTCGGTCAAAAGGGACTTTCCAGTTATGTACTTTCGGTTTCATTATGAAGCACAATCAGCAACTCGAACGTGGGGTCATCCAGTCCAGTCGCAGACTGCTGTTTAACAAAATTAATGCGAAGATTCCCATTTACATGAGGGTGTAACTTAGAATATAGGCTAGATATATTCTTAATATATATAGGCTATCGTTTCCTTGAAATTCAGAAGAAATTGCAACCTCACTCGTAAGAGCCCACATGCAACCGTGAGTAGTCTATATTTTTTAAAGGAATTTAAACTTGTTATATTGTATTATATATTACAGCAAGTATTGTAATGTGTTATTACTATTCGTCATATTCATCCTGAAGCTTAAAACGACTTTGAAATTAACCTAATTGAAAGTGAAAGTATAAATGAAGCGCCATAAGATAACAGTTGATTACACACTCCAGCACCCAATGTTGTCCCTTATTAGTCGGTCAGCTGTTTTTCATTAAATGGTCACACTCCCTCCAATATTTTCAGATAATCTATGTCCAAGGGGTTTAATTGGGATTTTGTGTGAACTAATTCTCAAATTGCCACTTTTTCGATAATAGGCTATAACAGATCTATGTGCACATTTCATTTTCCATATGGAATCCCACTTAGTCCTCCTCAATTTAACCCCTGGATATGATGTTCCTCAACCTCATTATCTGTCTGTCCCAACCTCCTGTTCTAGAGCCTGTTTGGAATGCCGAAAATGAACTTCTTTCCGCTGGTCTTCCTGTGCATGGATGTGTGTGTGGTGCAGACAGTCCGCTTGTCCCAACTCTCTCCTCTCCTCCTCCCTCATCCCCTTATCACCTTGTGGGGTGGAAGCCTGCTCCGTGCCGGCCTCCACCTCTTTCTCACCTTCATGTTCCCTGGAAGTCCCCCATGGATGAGCAGCTTCGAGGGACTCCAGAGCATGGGGGTCCTCTGCTTCCACTGCCCACTCTACATCAGCCTTCTCTGGGCATGTGGCCAGTCCATCTTGGGGCAGCTATGGGGATGGCACTCCTGGCAGGGGGTGGGTGAAAAGTCTATATTGCTATAATTATGTTAATATATATATATATATATATATATATACCCTTTTTGTTTTAAAAATGGACAAACCTAACGGACTAAAATCACTTGTTTTTCAGCTACTTCAGGGCTACTGCGTAACAGTCGTAGCATGGTTGTACTGGACACGCTACGTCCCTTCTCTTATTACCAAGCCAACCAAGGAACCACAGAAGAAGACTGGGGCCTCTCTAGAGAAACTGATGGGATACATGAAGCCTTACATCATACGCTTCGGAGCAGTGCTGAGTCTTGTCGTCATCTCTTCCCTTGGTGAGATGGCTATTCCCCACTACACCGGCCGAATGACAGACTGGATCATGAATGAAGACGAGCCTGAAGCCTTCACTTACGCCATCACAGTCATGTCTCTGATTACAGTCATGAGGTATAGTACAGCATAGATCAATAATTGGCAATACGATTATCTTGAGTCCTTCCAATTGATGCTCAGTGTTTGATACTCCTGTTTTTTTAGGTTTCAAGCTTCCTAACCACTTCCTTAAGGCATCTATTGTAATGATACTGTAGTAACATGTTTCTTTGCCCTCCTTCTCCCATCTTCATCATTCAGTGCTGTGTGTGAGTTTGTGTGTGATCTCATCTACAACATCACCATGAGTCGCATACACACCTCCATCCAGGGCCTAGTCTTCCAGTCAGTGCTGAAGCAGGAGATCGCTTTCTTTGACAAAGCACAGACAGGTGAGTCACATCTCATTGTAATCTACAGGTAACTGCCTAAATAAATGAAACACCAACATACAGTGTCTTAATAGGGCGTTGGGCCACCACTAGCCGCCGGAATAGCTTCAATGTGCCCTGGCATAGATTCTACAAGTGTCTGGAACTTTATTGGGGGGATTGACACCACCTCGAGAAATGTTTGTTTTGTTGATGGTGGTGGAAAACGCTGTCTTAGGTGCGACGCTCCAGAATCTCCCATAAGTGTCCAATTGGGTTGAGATCTAGTGACTGAGACACACACACCCACCCTTTAAACTCCCAATGCTCTTTGAGACCCCACTTTCAAAGTCACTGAGATCTCTTCTAGCCATGGTAGCCCAAATAATGGGCAGCTGGACATATTTATACATGACCCTAAGCAAGGAATGTTCATTGCTTAATTAACTCAGGAACCACAACTGTGTGGAAGCACCTGCTTTCAATATGCTATGTATCCCTCATTTCCTCAAGTGATTCCTTTATTTTGGCAGTTACCTGTACTCCACCTTCTTAAATATATTTTTTTATACAGTAGCTGGGTTACTAATTTATTCAAAGCTAACTGATAAACACATACTGTATGTCCCAAGGATATATCCCAGGTGTTTTTAAGTGAAAAGGAGCTAATCTTAATAAACACGAGTGATACTGTCAAGAGCATTGTGTTTTTTTCTTTCTTTATGCAATATATTTATGCTTTATGCTATATATATATGATATATATTTGCACCCCGTCCCCTCCAAGGGGCTAACTTAACCTATGACCTTTGTTCCAGGTGACCTTGTGTCACGCATCACCACGGACACCAACGACATGAGTGAGTCTCTGAGTGAGAGGTTGAGTCTGCTGATGTGGTACTTCATGCGTGTCACTTTCCTCTTCATCTTCATGCTCAATCTCTCCTGGAAGCTGTCACTCTTCACCGCTATGGGGCTTCCTATCATCTGGGTCATACCAAAGATATCCGGCAAGTGGTACCAGGTACAGGAAATCAGACCTTTTCTAACCTATTGTAGTAGAAGTAGCCTGGTCCCAGATCTGTTTGCGCCTTCTTGACTAAATGTATGGGGTGACAATGACAATAAGAGTTGGCTAAACAGCATAAACAGATCTGGGACCAGGCTATAGTGGGGGTAGTTCTGTGAACTACTGAACACTCCCGTGATGAGTAACATTGTCTGAGAGTTGCAGTTTCTTGATTCTTGATTCTACAAGCCACAGTCACAAAAATAGCACCACAGAGCAGACAGATCAGAATGTTACCTGACCAATCAGAATGTAACTGTGAATATTGTTTTTGTCCCAGGAGCTCGGTGCGAAGGTTCAAAAGTCACTAGCCCAGGCCAATGATGTTGCCACGGAGACCTTCTCCTCCATGAAGACAGTGCGCAGCTTTGCCAATGAGGAGGGCGAGACAGAGCGCTACAGGAAGAGGCTGGAGAAGACCTACTCTCTGAATAAAGAGGAAGCAGCAGCCTACGCAGCCTCGACCTGGACCAATAGCGTGAGTCTCAGCTTCAATTGTAAACAGTCACAGAGTGAGAGCAATTTATCCAAATTCAGTTCCAAAAAGCTTGGATTGCACATTGACTCATGAGGGTGCATGAATTTGTCTGTAATAAGGGCCCTGAGTTTTTCCTGGCCATGTGAACAGACTAGGGAAAGCTCTGGGCCATTGTTATAGACTATAACTACTGTAGGTCCCAGAGTTCTTCCTGGTTACATGATCTGGAAAACTCTGGGCCCTAGTCATAATCAATAATAACCCCATCTGTCTCCCTTTCAGATGTCAAGCCTGTTCCTGAAGGTCAGTATCCTGTACTATGGTGGTAGTCTGGTGACAGGGGGGACCGTCAGCAGTGGGGACCTTGTGGCCTTTGTGCTCTACGAGCTCCAGTTCTCCTCTGCTGTGGAGGTAAGGCCATAGATAAACAGTCTCCATTCAATCTACCAGCAGCCATCTTATGCTTGATCCCTACTACCAAATACAAACAAACCTAAATGTACACACCCTAACAAGGCACTGGCAATTTGTTCTACAGTAAAATAGGGGTCAACATGATTTATCAGTATCAAAACATTTGAATCATAACTAGAGTTTTGAGTAGCAACATTTTGACAGTCACTTACTGGTGTCGCTTTTACACCTCCTGTCTGGCAGGTCTGTGATGTCGTGTTACCCAAGTGTGATGAGGGCGATCGGCGGCTCAGAGAAGATATTTGAGTATGTGGACCGACAGCCCCAGGTTCCTCCAGAAGGCTCCCTTGCCCCACAGAAACTTGAGGGACATGTTCAGTTCAAGAATGTCACATTTACCTACCCTACCAGGGAAGATACACCTGTGCTCAAGGTATCTACATTATATTTACAGTATACTATATACTGGATATGAATTAAAATAACATACATTAAATTACAATTTCTCTCTATCTCCCAGGGCCTGTCTCTGGAGCTGAGGCCTGGGCAGATCACTGCCCTGGTGGGGGCTTCTGGATCAGGGAAGAGCACCTGTGTGAGCCTGCTGGAGAGGTTCTACCTGCCCCAGGAAGGAGAGATCCTATTGGATGGAAAGCCACTGCACAGCTACAAGAACCAGTACCTACACGACAAGGTCATTACGAACAGCAATGGAAGCAATGTTACTCTTCCCCTAAGCTATATTAGTGCGTAACATAAATAGCTACCAGCCTTTAAAGAACACTACATGATCACAATGTTTGCCAAGAAGTTATTAACCAACTAATGAATAATGTCTCTCAGATCAGTGTGGTGAGTCAGGAGCCGGTGTTGTTTGCACGTTCTGTCAAGGAGAACATCAAATATGGCCGAGAGGACGCTTCCGACGAGGAGATATACCGGGCTGCTGGGCTGGCCAATGCCCACAAGTTCATCTCTGACCTGCCCAAGGGCTATGATACAGGTATGTCCCAAAAGCTTAATTCATATTGACTTCATCCTGATAGGATTGGTAATATTGTTTCTTTGGGGCTTTGTTTAGTCCTTACTGATAAAAAGTTACACTTTTTTCTGCATGACTTCGACTTTGAACTGTTAGTACTTTTCCTTCCTCAAACTACTGATGATATGATTGTAGTGTATGTGTGTTATCCAGCTCTGCTGTTCATACCTAATTGTTGTTCTTTATTCCACAGATGCCGGGGAGAAGGGAGGCCATGTTTCAGGAGGGCAGAAGCAACGCATAGCCATCGCCAGAGCTCTGATCAGACAGCCTCGGATTCTAGTACTGGACGATGCCACCAGTAACCTAGACACCGAGAGCGAGCATTTGGTAGGAGAACTCTGAATCTTGTTATCTTTCACTACAACAGACTGACATAAATCAATTTTGGGTGGATAATCAGTTGCTGTTGATCATTTACTCACAATATAACCCAATGGAGGCTGTTTCCTTCCCTAACTTTAATCATTGATTTACAGTGTATTGTAATCTCAGCTAATCTCTGACAATTCAGTGGCTTTAATTCAAACATACTCAACATGTTTCTCTCCTTAGGTCCACCAAGCTCTGCTCAAGGACTCAAACCCCTGCTCAGTGCTGTTGATTGCTCATAAGCTGAGCACTGTGGAGAAGGCCAATCACATTGTTGTTCTCGAGGAGGGAAAGGTGCTAGAGGAGGGGAGCCATGTTGAGCTGCTGGAGAAAGGTGGAACCTATGCTGATCTGGTGAACAAGCAGAATACTGGCTTCCAGCGCAAAGAAGGGGAGGAGCTGAAAGACTAAAACAGAGGCTCTGACAATCCTCAATGTAAACTGAAATCCCACTTCTGTCACCATCTCACATTTTCACCATTTATTTTGGTACCCCATTTTCATGATATCCAATTGGTAGTTACAGTCTTGTCCCATCACTGCAACTCCCGTAGGGACTTGGGAGAGGCGAAGGTCGAGAGCCATGCATCCTCCAAAACATGACCTTGCCAAGCCGCACTGCTCGCTTAACCCGGAAGCCAGCCACACCAATGTGTCAGAGGAAACACTGTACAACTGGCGACCGTGTCAGCCTGCATGCGCCCGGCCCGCCACAGGAGTTGCTAGAGCGCTATGGGACAAGGACATCCCGGCCGGCCAAACCCTCCCCTAACCCAGATGCTCGGCCAATTGTGCGCCGCCTTATGGGTCTCCCGGTCGTGGCCGGCTGCGACACCCGGGATCGAACCTGGGTCTGTAGTGCCTTAGACCGCTGCGCCACTCGGGAGGCCTATTTTCAACATGATTAGTTCTACTGCGTCACATATGCTTTGCAAATACTCTGAGATCATAGCATCAAACTTTAGTTAAATTATCATACTCCCCTCAGTGATTTTCAGGTACTCAAAGAAAAAACTGATTACAAGAACAGTCCTGTAATATAAGAGGTTTCAAACAAACTTTGTGTTCAACTTTCTATTTGCACTATACTGTAAATTAAGTATTTTTAATGCCTCAAATGTCCTTTGTATTTATTTTTTATTGAATTGTTCTCTCACATTTGTGTTCTAACTAATGTAAATAGGGAACCCAAAGAATGATTTGTTTTCTGTTTACATTGTCTTCAAGGCAGTACAATACACTAGCCTTTTTCTGTTCTGTTCTAATGACAATAAACATTCTGCTCTCTGAAATAATTTCTTAATTTAGTATCTGAATGTGGGGGAATGGTTACATAATAACAGCATGATGTGCAAGTTTTGCAGTTGATCTGTATTACTGTGGGAAACCCCTCATCTCAAGCTTTCACTTTTCCTTTACTTTGCTATAGGCCTAGATAATGATGACTAAGGCCAAGCCTAATCGCATACAATGACCTCCAGCAACATTGTTAGTGTTTAGAGGGTATTTCCAATGAAGGCAATATGACGCTTAACACAGAGGCAGTTTCATAACAGTTGCAATAGCATAGTGTTAGGTCCACAAACGTACACATTGCTGGAGCAGCCAGAGACTGGCAGCAGTCGCAGCACAGACAAGGGGTAACCGAGACACGTCATGGGGACTATAAAGCTGAAGCATCGGTTTACAACGTTTTCTCACCACCAAATATGTTAGTGAGAGGAAGTCCAGTCGCGAGTAGTGGGAGAGGATGGAACTAGATCTCAATCCTTTTTGCTGTTCCCAAAACTAGAATTTTACGAACACAGTGCACTAAGTTTTATAGACTTGACGCATTGCGAAAGTTTTTAAAAATTGCACTGTTTAGGTGTGCACGGTCGAATTGAGTTTGTGCACACGCGCACTTCACAGAGGAAATATGCAACTACGTGTTACAACGCGCCAATAGGATATCGCTTGCTCGTGCTTGGCTTTGCCCACCTCCTTGCTTATTCTGCACTATGTTTCATTTGCTCACACTGTGAACGACACAGATTAACTATCCTGGGTTAGTTATAAATATATTTGGTTGCGGGTCCACCACAGCTCAACTGTCCTCAACTGATCCCCTGCTGATTTTGTACGTTTGCCCACTGACAAAGAAATGGTCAGTCTATACGTTTAATGGTAGGTTTATTTGAACAGTGAGAAACAGAATAACTACAAAAAAATCCAGAAAAACGCATGTAAAAAATGTTATAAATTGATTTGCATTTTAATGAGGGAAATAAGTATTTGACCCCCTCTCAATCAGAAAGATTTCTGGCTCCCAGGTGTCTTTTATACAGGTTACGAGCTGAGATTAGGAGCACACTCTTAAAGGGAGTGCTCCTCATCTCATCTTGTTACCTGTATAAAAGACACCTGTCCACAGAAGCAATCAATCAATCAGATTCCAAACACTCCACCATGGCCAAGACCAAAGAGCTATCCAAGGATGTCAGGGACAAGATTGTAGACCTACACAAGGCTGGAATGGGCTACAAGACCATCACCAAGCAGCTTGGTGAGAAGGTGACAACAGTTCGTGTGATTATTCGCAAATGGAAGAAACACAAAAGAACTGTCAATCTCCCTCGGCCTGGGGCTCCATGCAAGATCTCACCTTGTGGAGTTGCAATGATCATGAGAATGATGAGGGATCAGCCCAGAACTACACGGGAGGATCTTGTCAATGATCTCAAGGCAGCTGGGACCATAGTCACCAAGAAAACAATTGGTAACACACTAAAGCACATATACAGGCCCGTCTGAAGTTTGTCAATGAACATCTGAATGATTCAGAGGAGAACTGGGTGAAAGTGTTGTGGTCAGATAAGACCAAAATCGAGCTCTTTGGCATCCCCCAAGAACACCATCCCCACCGTCAAACATGGAGGTGGAAACATTATGCTTTGGGGGTGTTTTTCTGCTAAGGGGACAGGACAACTTCACTGCATCAAAGTGACGATGGACGGGGCCATGTACCGTCAAATTTGGGTGAGAACCTCCTTCCCTCAGCCATGGCATTGAAAATGGGTCGTGGATGGGTATTCCAGCATGACAATGACCCAAAACACACCGCTAAGGCAACAAAGGAGTGGCTCAAGAAGAAGCACATTAAGGTCCTGGAGTGGCCTAGCCAGTCTCCAGACCTTAATCCCATAGAAAATCTGTGGAGGGAGCTGAAGGTTCGAGTTGCCAAACGTCAGCCTCGAAACCTTAATGACTTGGAGAAGATCTGCAAAGAGGAGTGGAACAAAATCCCACCTGAGATGTGTGCAAACCTGGTGGCCAACTACAAGAAACGTCTGACCTCTGTGATTGCCAACAAGGGTTTTGCCACCAAGTACTAAGTCATGTTTTGCAGAGGGGTCAAATACTTATTTCCCTCATTAAAATGCAAATCAATTTATAACATTTTTGACATGTGTTTTTCTGGATTTTTTTGTTGTTATTCTGTCTCTCACTGTTCAAATAAACCTACCATTAAAATTATAGACTGATCATGTCTTTGTCAGTGGGCAAACGTACAAAATCAGCAGGGGATCAAATACTTTTTCCCCCTCAATTACATGTCCAAGACCAGTGGCAAATCATTTTTAAAAATAGAGAAGAGAAACAGCCCAAGGCAACTGCCCTGAGGGACACCGCACTGTACATATCTGATGTTAGAGAAGCTTCCCTTGAAGAACACTCTCTGGGTTCTATTGGATAAATAACTGTCAAACCATGTGATGGCAGGTGATGTAAAGCCAAAGCAAGTGAGTTTCTTCAATAACTATTTATGATCAATAACATCAAAGGCTGCACTGAAATCTAACAATACAGCTCCAACTGTCATCTTATTATACATTTATTTTAAGAAATCATCTGTCACCTGAGTCAGTGCAGTACAAGTTGAGTGCCCTTCTCTATATGCATGCTGAAAGTCAGTAGTTAACTTGTTCTCTGAAAAATAGCATTGTATTTGGTCAAACACAATTCTCTTCATCAGTTTTCTAAGAGCAGGCAGCGAAACTGATTGGGCAGCTGTTAGAGCCAACAAAGGGTGCTTTACTATTTTTAGGCAGTGGAATTACTTTAGCTTCCTTCTACGCATGTGGAGACACAACTTTAGGCTTTGGTTAAAGATATAGCAAATGGGGGCGGCAATACAGTCTGCTACCATTCTCAATAGTTTCCCATCAATGTTTTCTATACGTGTTTGCTTATCATTATTGATGGATAACAATCGTTTTTCAACCTCTCCCACACTAACTTGACCAAATTCAAAACAGCCATCCTTCTCTTTCATTATTATATATTTTATACAAAAATATGATAGTTCACTGATCAATGTTTTCATTTCACTTCTGACTTTTTCCACTTTACTAGTGAAACAGACATTGAAATGATTGCCAATATCAAAAGGTTTTGTTATAAATGACCCATCAACTTCAATGAATGATGGCGATGAATTGGGTTTTCTGCCCATATCATTGAAGGTACTCCAAAGTTTTTCCATTGTGTTTTATGTCATTTATCTTGGTTTGGTAATATAGTTTCTTCTTTTTGTTAAGTGTTAGTCACATAATTTCTCAATTTACAGTACGTCAACCAATCAGCTGACCAGCCTGACTTGTTTGCCACCTCTTTTACACCATTTCTTTGAACCATACCATTTTTCAATTCATCATCAATCCAGAGGGCTCCAACAGTTCTCACAGTTGATTTCTTAACAGGTGCATTCTTGTCAACAATTGGTATGAATAATTTTACAAATACTTCCAGTGCTGCATCTGGATTCACTTCTTCATACACATCAGACCAACATACATTTTTTTTTACATCTTCAAAAAAATTTTTTTTATATGATCTATTGTAAATTACTTTAGGCCCAACATTTCGCACTTTGGCTTTCCTTGTTATTGCCAGAATGTTATGGTCACCACAGCCAATGGGACTGATATTGTCGCAGTTGTAAATGAGAACCTGTTCTCAACTGGCTTACCTGGTTAAATAAAGGTGAAATAAAAAATAAAAAAAATATTGCTTTGGAGTTAAGCTCTGCAGCATTATTGAAGATATGATCAAAGTAATAACATGGGTCATATTACAGGCATTAGCCACAGTTAAAAGCTTCCTCAGAAAATAGACCTCTCTGTTAACATCGCACACACTATCAAGCATTGAACACATATTATCCAAATACTGACTGTTAGGACTTGGTGGCCTATAGCAGCACCCCAAAAGAAGAGGCTTTAGATGAGGCAAGTGAACTTGCAATCTTTCTATGATCCATCTGCAGCTTTTCGGTGATCATTTTTCTCACTTTCTCCATCCAGGTCTCATGTGGAGACTCTGGTATGCCATCCACAACAATGTTATTCCTCCTGGATTGTCATCTGTAATAATGATTCACAGTGCTGTCATCATCTCACGTGGACTTAGTTTGTTGTCATCTTGCTGCACTCAACACAGCCAACTGGAATTGCTAAAATGCCATTGATTGTGGAACCTTTAGTCTACCTTAAGGACAAAGCCTGATTTTCCTTTCCTTATTAATCCTGTGACTTTTGGCTAAATGTCAGGTTTAAAAACGTTCACTTTCAATTCATTTTGAACATTAATAGCCCTGGACAAAGATATCTCACTGCAAAAGCTTGTAGGCTACTCTAGCATATCTGTTCAATAGAGTGCAACTAATGGGAAAACCCTGGCCTAAACTTTATGATAAACTGGAACATCCAGGGTTAGAATTATAGGCCTGTATCGACTCTTGGCCAGGGCCCCTGACAAACTTTAGAGTTGCAATGTATTGGATGCCCCATAAACCGTAAAAATTATGTGGGGAGGGATGCCCGCTGTGATATTTGTCATGTGGCTGATTTTGCAGTGTGCAACCTCCCCTGGGTGCATCTCAAAAGTCTAGCAGCCGCAGTCCCCACTCCTTCATCTGAAAACAGAAATGAAATCTGAAATAAATATCACTGAAGCAAAGCTAACTGGAGGACTTGTTTGCAAGGAATTGGAGAGGCAAGCAGCAGCAGCTCTATAATAAAAAGCTAGGCTACTTATCCTATAAGTAGGCCTAGGGCCTATCCCTTTTGAATTATGTGAAACGAATTGAGAAAATCAAGCTGTCTGAAAAATTATCCATGCAACATGACAAGATGTTGACAACAACTTCTTAACATTTCGGCATCATCATTTTATGGCTGAACTGCCCTTATCTCCCACTGATGTGACAGATTGCATAACTTCCACTCCAAATAAAAAACCTGAGTTATGCTCCAACCTAGTGACTGAATAAATCCTACAACTGCGGATGATACAGCCAATGATGTGTGTATATTTAAATCATTGGATACAGCTGATATACCCTACAAGGAAAAAAAGTAGGTGCCAGTGTGCCTAAAAGGCTGATGATTTTCTGGCTATTTTAGCTAGCTACCGTTATGTCGTTAGCTACTTGGGCTACCAACTGGGAAATAGTACCCAGTCGTGAGGAGGACCTACCGCCGGTAATAATTTTTTTTGTATTTAGAATTCGGAGTAGCTAGTAATAAGCATTAGGTTCCGTAAACGTAAAAATGATAACGGTTGTATAAACAAATAATCTGTGTTGTTTTTATCTAACTACCTAGTTTAGCCGCCTGAAGCTAAAGGAACAGGATGCTCTTCTTGTAGGGTGTGGCATGTTAAATTACAGACAGCATGGATAGCCAATGATGATCTAGAACCAATGCGTAGTAGCCAATCGAAAGCCAGTATTACGAGAAACCCGACAGGAATTGCACGGAAACGCCACGTGGTATGTTTATAAAGCGGCAGGCGGAAGCTTTTCAGCGCCATTTCATTGTAGAACGGTTCGGGTTTTATTTAGTGGAAACATAACAGTGGAAAAATTGGAACATACAAATAATCCGGATCCATCCTGATGGAAACGGCCGTTAACACGCCCCTTGACAGGTACCATTCGGAATATTGTACCTTCAGCCTCAGGTCGGAACTGATTTTGCAGGCTTGACAATTAACACAAATCGGGACTGAATGGCTAAACCTAGTTAACTAGTATTCACTGTCGGTGCATCAGATAGCTAACTAGTCTTTTCTCAACTCTGACACCAACCAATGGAAATATTCCGTTGGCTAGGAAAATGTAAATATAGAGATTTATTTTGTTCCTAACACCCCCCTAGATAGCTAGCTATGCAGTGAGGGTGGATATTGACTTATTGTTTGGGTCAGCCTACTCAATATCTTAGTGCTGGGGGATTGTTTGGAATTGGCTGTGGTGATGAAACGCTTCATTGAGCGGCACTGCGCCACCGCCATTTTCCTGCTATAAATCGTATGACAGAGAAATAAACTGTTGAGCTAGGGCGGCAGATGTGCAATTTATTTGTAGCTTCATCAGTTGCCCTAACCCAGTTGTTCACTTTCTGATGTTCGCTAGCAAACGTTAGCGTCCTGGCTAACTAGCTTGGTAGCTAGCTACTGTTGTTTACAAACGACGCGATGGTTCTAAGCTAGCCAGCTAAGTTAGCGTTTCCACAAATGGGGTCTCACATAAACAAGCTAGTAACAGGAGGAGCTGATTGGATAGTTGTGCAAGGGTTTGAGTCACAGGCCGTTTGAAGGTTTTGACTGACGATCCTGGAGGTCTGTTTTGGCGTCGGTGTGTTTACAAACACTCAAAAAAGGCGGGGCGGCGACACTGACCCCAAGCGATGACTAATATAAGCGCGGAAGCCTCGTCTCTCTGCCGACTGAAATGATTGACACATTTACGAATTAAAGCATATCACAATAAAACTAACTAGCTAATGCCTTTGATTATTGCCTATTACCTATTACCGGTTAACACCATTAAATCAAAGTTAATTCAACGAAAATACTTGGGAGGTTAGGCTAAGTATAACAAACACGCATAGAGAGAGCAGTAAACTGGTCAACATACTATCAGTCTTTTTCCGGGTTATCAAGGAATAAAATTACTTGCATTGACAGATACTCTGCAGCTCTTTCCCCTTTCTTCAACTGGTTAACTTAACCAGGCCATGTTGTGTTGGTGTGTAAGTCCTGAGATGGAAAATCAGCTCATGAGCTTTGCCTCCCATTGTGTGTCAGTGGGTTGTCATGTGTGTGCTGTGTGAGCCCTGGAGTGACTGGGATAAAATCATCCAAAATCTGGTCCCACAAAGATGGAAGGGAATAGAGGGAGAACCTGGATGTTTTCCCTATTCTATCACTGAATGCAAGTTTAAATGCCCTAAGTGCTGTACAGTACTGATGTTGAGTACAGTAGTGCTTCAGTGCTGCCCCAGGGATTTTCCCATCCAGTGATCTGGGTTGCTGGGGCTGTGGCAAAAGTGGCAGCTTATTGATAGAATCCATTGCCTTGGTGAGGGAGCAGATGGGGAAGGGCCTGTGTTTTGATACCTCTATCAGTCATGTAGTCCCAGGTTCCCCCCTAATGCTTTCCTGCTTGAATTGTATAGCCTGCACCTTAAAGTTTGTCGTTGGCTTTCCTGTGCTTTCAATGCACAATAAGTTGACTGTATTGACACTGACTGTAGGGCAATGATGAAGTATTGCAAAGATCAAGCACAGTGTAGCTTACTACTTTTGAAATGCCAGAGCTCAGGGATAATTTTAGCATATGAATGAGTTTTCTGCCAAAATGTATTTCTCCCCTCATACACCCCCTTCTGCCTTCCCTCCGCCTGTCCTGTCTATCCCACTACTTCAACCTCTCCCACCGTCTGTTCTTCTCTCCTCTACTGGTCAGCAGCTCTCTGGGAGTGGTGGGGCTGTCTGGCGGCGGGATGGAGCACCACGCCTCGGGCCCAGGCAAGCGCATGCGGAAGCCATCACTGCTGTATGAAGGCTTCGAGAGCCCCCAGCTTCCGCACGCGCCGCCCCCTCCCCCGATCCAGCCCCCCGTCAGGGACCCCGGCCGGCAGGGCTGCATGACCAACCAGCTGCAGTTCCTCCAGAAGGCCATGATCAAGTCCCTGTGGAGGCACCACTTTGCCTGGCCCTTCCATGAGCCAGTGGACGCCTTCAGACTCAACCTCCCAGTGAGTTACTGTTTGTAGAGATTAGTGGTCACCAACTGGTCCTAGAGAGCCATAGGGGTTGCAAGCTTTTGTTACAACCCACCACCATGTAGGCCTACAGCCATGAGCGTTCGTCCATAGTTTACATCAGTGTCACACCGCCATTCAACAGTCATTACTCTCTTTTTCTTTATTCCGTTCTTTCTTGCTCTCCTAGGATTATCACAAGATCATCAAGCAACCCATGGACATGGGCACCATCAAGAAGCGGCTGGAGAACAACTATTACCGCAGCGCCAGTGAGTGCATGCAGGACTTCAACACCATGTTCACCAACTGCTATATCTACAACAAGGTATGGCCCTAATATTTACATGTATAGATCAGTCTAATGCATCAATGACAACAGAGCTAATGTATTTATCTAATTTATCACAAGGTCTTTCCATATTCACAGCAACTGTAGATGTACCTGTGTTAACTGGATGTTGATTATTAAGTGCATGTGGCTTCTTCTCCTCCCCCAGCCCACAGATGACATAGTGCTGATGGCCCAGTCCCTGGAGAAGGTGTTCCTGCAGAAGGTGGCCCAGATGCCCCAGGAGGAGATTGAGCTGGCCCCCTCCTGCCCCCAGGGGCAAACCGGGCAAGCCTGGCAAAGGAGGCCGCAAGGCCAACGGTGAGTCACTCTGGAGAATGTGATGGGAAAAGCAGGCAAGATAAATGTTCAACGAAGTGTTAGTGGATATACTGTGTATGTGTGGTTAAAGATGAGTAGGAACACATGTGCAACCTTGTTTAACATGGACTGTACCTCCTTGCCCATAATATTTTTTGGTAGTATTACCACTATGGGTGTGTTCTTGGGTCTGATTTTTCTCTGCCCCTCTCTCAGCGTCGAAAGCTCACCAGGTCCCTGCAGTGTCTCAGTCGGCATACTCCCCATCCTCCTCTGACACGGGTGACTCCGACACCCCCCCTCAGACCATGCTGCCCAAGAGTCTGCCCCCCACACAGCTGCTGAGCCTGCCCCCCACACAGCCCACCGCCAAGGTACCACACTTTACTCAATATGCTAAGACCTGAATAGGAACTTGCTATAGTACTGAACACTGTATTGATGCTACAAATTTGTTGCTGCTGCCTGTTACACACTGTATATAGGCTACAGAACCTCCATTGTCAAACAGAAAACCATACTGTAACTCCTCTCTCTGTGTGCAGAAGAAGGGAGTGAAGCGGAAGGCGGACACCACCACTCCCTCCACCATGATGACCATGCCCCTGGCTGTAGGAGGGGGCCGGATGGTGGGCCTGGGGAAAGGAGGCCACGGGCAAGGGCTGAGCCACGACCCCTCCTCCCTCGCCTCCCTGGGGGACATGGACCCCCCTCCCAGCCTGGTTAGAGGACCCATGGGCCCAGGAGGCCCCGTCCTGCTCCAGCCCATGATGGCCGGAGGCGGGAAGACCCTGGCGCGGCGAGGGGGCAGTGGACGCCCCATCAAGCCCCCCAAGAAGGACCTGCCGGACTCTGTGCAGCCCAAGGCGCCGCGGCGGGCCAAGCTGAGCCAACAGCTGCGTTACTGTAACAGCGTGCTGAAGGATCTGCTATCCAAGAAACACGCGGCCTACGCCTGGCCCTTCTACAAGCCCGTGGACGCCTCGGCCCTGGGCCTGCACGACTACCACGACATCATCAAGTGCCCCATGGACCTCAGCAACATCAAGGTCAGCTTGCAAGATAAAGATGTCGCAATGCCGTGACTCAATGAGAACTGAATGTGGCTCAAATACACAGTTCATGGATTATTACCTCATATCTTCTCACATTTGTTTTGTGTGGATATCTGTCACAGTATGAAACTAAGGAGGCTTATCCCTATCTGGAGTCATCTCCTTTATCTGTTGGAGTTTAAAACCTTCTCTTTTCTCTCCTGTCTTTCTCTCAGAGGAAGATGGACAGTCGGGAGTACAGGGATTCGCAGCAGTTTTCCGCTGACGTCCGACTCATGTTCTCCAACTGCTACAAATACAACCCCCCCGACCATGACGTAGTGGGCATGGCCCGCAAGCTGCAGGTGAGCTCAGTTCCGTCACCACAACTCACCCTGGAACCCTTAGTTCACCTTTGTTGCTTGACCTCCATGTCCACTGCATGCTCAGGGGGCTTTACCTGCGATATGTGGTCGTCTTATCTACCTTGGCTGAATGCACTGACTGCAAGTCACTCTGGATAAGTTTGCTTAATGACTAATATGTCAAATGTCAGTTGCATTTCTCTGTTCTGTCCCTTCACGTTCTCTCTTGTGATAACTGTTATTATTGTGTAACAAAACAATAGGGACATGATCCACAATGGAGTAAATAAACAAGCTCTCAATCCGTTTTGTCTATCTGTCCATCCAGGACGTGTTTGAGTTCCGCTTCGCCAAGATGCCCGACGAGCCCCTCCAGCAGGCTCCTCCCAAGTCCCGTGGCATGGGTGGCGGCATGGGCACTCACGCTCACGGTGGCGGTGACTCCTCGTCTTCTTCCTCCTCCTCGTCCTCATCCTCCTCGTCGGAGAGCGAGCCCAGCAGCGAGAGCGAGAGCAGCCCCAGCTCGGACAGCGAGGAGGAGCGAGCACACCGCCTGGCCGAGTTACAGGACCAGGTGTGTACACAGGTAGACTCAACCCCCCCGTTCACCTAACACACTGCACCACACACACCTAACACAGGCCTGTTTTCATCTACACACCACATGCATAGACTGCATCAATAGAGTTTAGACCTCTCTAATACAGGTTTTTGTAATATTCAGACAAATCCATGCTTGTATGCATACTTTCACACTCATTTGGTGTACATGTTTATACAAATACTCTCTGTGTTCAAACATGTATGTACATAAGCCTACATGGGCTATTTGCTGTATTTGCTCACTATTACACTGTAATATCACAGTATTCCTTCATGACCTAGCCATATAAGTGAAGTGTAGTTGTCCAGTTGAACACTCCACCTCTGGTCTGCCCCCCGTCACAGCTCCGAGCCGTACACGAGCAGCTGGCAGCCCTCTCCCAGGGCCCCATCGTCAAGAACAAGAAGAAGAGGGAGAAGAAAGACAAGAAGGAGAAAAAGAAGAAGAAAAAGCCGGAGAAGCGAAACCGAGGACGGCCCTGCGCGGCGGTAGGGGGTGAGGACTGGGAGATGCCGACGGCCAAGCCGGTGAAGACGCCAAAGAGTAAATCCAGTAGGAGCTCAGCTCCCGCCTCCTCGCAGGGCAAGAGCGGCCCCGGCAGGAAGAAGGGCAGCAAGTAAGCCTACACTGACCTCAAACACAACCTTTCTCTTTGCTTTAACTCTACTTTTCTGACGCATTTTCTCTTTACTTCTCCGTCCCTCGATCTGTGATCCATGTCCTCTATTTCTCCTACCTTGCTTGTTTCCGTCTCTCATTTTGTAGACTTCTTTCACATTGCTTCCTCTTTCCACCTTTCCTCACTTCACTTTTTAAGTTTCTTACACCATTTTCTACTTCCTCTCTTTATCACACTGCAATTCCAACTTGACCTGCATTTGTCTCTAGTGCCGTGGTATTCAAAGTCAGGGCCCCAGGACAATTGACTACAGTGGGGTCGCAGAGTACAGATTATTGAATGGGACAATGTATAAAGTTCATTTTGATAAGAGATGGAAATGTAATGAATTGAAGGTGATTTGTTGATGTAAAAATCTAAATTTACCGAAATGTAGGTTGTCTTTATATTTGGGGTGGGGTCACGAGAAAATTATTGTAAAAAAATTATAATTGGGTCCCCACAAATTCGGGTGTGAAAAAATGGGCTCCCCGCTGGAAGAGTTTGCATACAACTTCCCTAGTACTACTCCACAGTCCTCTAACAGCCTCCACCTGTCCCCCCTTCTCCCTAGGAACACCAAGAAGTCCCAGGCTGCTACCATGCCCTACTACGCCCCGCCTGCCTCCCATGCTGCCCCACTACGACTCCGAGGAGGAGGAGGAGGAGACGTCTCCCATGTCGTACGACGAGAAGCGCCAGCTGAGCCTGGACATCAACAAGCTGCCCGGTGAGAAGCTGGGCCGCGTCGTCCACATAATCCAGTCCCGCGAGCCCTCGCTGCGCGATACCAACCCAGAGGAGATCGAGATCGACTTTGAGACGCTCAAGCCGTCGACGCTGCGTGAGCTGGAGCGCTACGTCATGACATGCCTGAGGAAGAAGCCCCGTAAGCCTTATGGTGAGCGGGAACGGATAGCGATAGCTAATGCTAGCTGTGGTTAGCTAGTATGGTGTGAAGGGGAATGTGTCATGTTGTCACTGCAGACACTTGCTAATGCCATGTTATGCTACAAAGAACTGATGCTACAAGCTGGTGCTGTGGTGATAAAATGCTACATGCTAGCGCTCTGGTTGACTAATACCATACAAAAGGAACCAGTCTTTCACTATGGAATGTTTAGATATTTATGTGTGTAACCTTGAACCTGTCCTGTCTGTGTGTAACAGTGAAGAAAGGGGGCCCCGGCAAGTCCAGAGAGGAGCTGGCCCTGGAGAAGAAGAGGGAGCTGGAGAGGAGGCTGCAGGATGTCAGCGGACAGCTCAATTCTGGCAAGAAACCCCAGAAACCCAAGGGTGAGAACCACACGTACACAGACACACGGGGAGCGGCTGTTGCACATGTAGCATTTAGCATGCCGATAAATGCTAATCCTATACCCCCTCTGTTTCGCTCTCTCTCACAGCGGAGAAGCTCAGCGGTGTAGAGCCCCACGCCCGGCCCTCCCGCCTCAGCGGCAGCAGCTCCAGCTCAGACTCTTCCTCCTCCTCGTCATCCTCCTCCTCTGACACCAGTGAATCAGACTCGGGTTGATGAGACAGTGGGAGAGGGGAGGGAACCCCCATAGAGCTCAGGGACATGCGGCAGTCCCAGGACGAGGTCTCCTGGGACAATAAAGGGAGGGAAAAGAGCGCCCCTCCCTCGAAAGGCACCCCAGCACGAACACTCCAAGAGAATGATGATTGTGGGATTTGTATGCGGGGTGGAGGGACGAGTGAAGGTCACTAAGGATACTGAAGACCAGAAACATATATTGAGAGTTCGGCCAGGTTTTAGAACGGCTGCCATGTTAGCGGCTTTATTCTCAAAGTGTTGGTAATGTAACAATACGAGAGCGCCTCTGACAATTCCCTATGAAATGACCATTCAGGATAATGTATATCCAAGTCTTTACTGTGTTGTGGTGTCAACAAATTGCATATCTGCTTTCACTGGACATCTTCATAGGTTTTGAAACTATCAGAAATAAACGGAATTGTCAATTATCACTTAGCAACGGCTATGGAGGAGAAAGTGGTTCTCGGAATGTTCACAGAAACCGCAATGGCCCAACCCTCTTCGACTCAAGATGCCTTGTTATCCCTCTCCTCCCTGTGTAAATACTTGTACAATTTATCTACATTTCTTTTATAAAGAATAATTTTATGGCAATCCCCCAAAGAGGGAGACTGAGGAGTAGTGAAAGGATGTGGAGAGATGTGCCCAGCCCCATGTTGGACACTTCTTGATGTGCCCTCATAGATTGATTAGAACTGGATGGATATAAGCAATATAGCAGAAACCCCACTCGCCCTCCCAGAAAGCTATGTGGAGTGCGTGTCGTAGTGCTTATACTTGTCTGTTCTTTTACTACGAGGCCTTCACTCTGTCTAGTGGTGGTTGATTTACAGCTCTGGTAGTTTTGTATTTTCTGTCAAGTCTTATAGCTGCAGTCACAAGAGTGGGTACATTTTTTGTTGTTTTCTGTGTTTCATTTTACATCTGTTCTTACTGCTAACAGACCAACATTCAGCTGGACATAAAGTTCAGAGGCAGAAGGAGAGTTTTTTATTTCCATTCCATATGTAACGCTTAAGAGATCTAACTACTGAAACTGTTTTTCTTGACAGTGAGATATGGCACTTACCATTTTAGAAACAACCAATCGGTCATTTCTCAGGATAGGAGTAGGTTTCTTTATGGTGACACTGCAGTCTTACAATCACTGCAGTCTTAGAAACTGATCGGTCTTCAGTTCTAAGCAATTCCATTAACGCTGTTTGTTCTTAAAGGAAAATTCCACTTAAACTATCATTTGGTATTTGTTTCGTTAGTCCACTGTTGAAACAGTCCCAAAATGTTTTGCATGTCAGCAATCAAGTTTTCAACATAGAACTTTCAAAATACAGAAAGTGTCACAGTATGATGTGCTTTGCAAGCTAACCGTTGGCTAGATGTTAAAAATCACCATAGAGAATGTATACAGGAGCAGACATCCTAAGTTCAAGTTTGGACCAAGAGATACACCAGATGAAAGATGTACAGAAGCTATGCTGTTAGATCTCTTTTTAAGGAAATTATTATATATATATATAGTACTCTATTTCAGTGGTACAAATGATCATGTTTCTTTCTACCAGTGACTATTTTTTCCTGTCTTGCTTTTCTTTTATACTCTGTATTTCTCCTCCTAGTCATGCTTTGTTTCCCCAGAACATATCCTGAACATTGTTTTGCCTACTGGTTGACTGGTTTGCTGCCTCTCAGAAGCATACCTGTCGTTTGAAAACTGTATATATATATATATATATATATTAAATGAGAACTCTTCTATAAAGCCTTTTATATTCATTTGTGATATGTATACACAGTACACACTTTATTTATTTATATATATACACTGAACAAAAATATAAATGCAACCATTTCAAAGATTTTACTGAGTTACAGTTCATATAAGGGAATTAGTAAATTGAAAATCAGTCAATTGAAAAAAATATGCTCTAACCCCCCCCCCCCCCCATGGGGGCAAAGTACCGCAAGACATTTTAAAATGTATTAAATATTATTATATTTGAGTTATGATTTTTAGCCTACAATTACTCATTCTGTAATATACAAACAACCTGCAATAGATGGCGCTGTAGCCTGGTAGCACGCTCTGTATTTTGGTTTACAGTCAGATTCAGAATGCGCTCAGTCATCATAGCGACTTCACTTCAAAAATGAGTGCTGCGAAAATGAGAAAAGTGGTCTCTGAATGTCGTGTGTTTAAAGAAGAATGGACAGCAAAATACTTTTTTACTAATATTGGACATAAGGCGGTATGTCTGATATGCCAATAAAGTGTTGCCGTTTTTAAGGAATATAATCTCAATCGTCATTTTCTTTCAAGCAAGCATGCTAACTAAGCAGATGGCTTCAATCTTTTTTCTATAGCACAGGATGAGAGTATTGACATCAGAGACACCGCTCAACTGTAACTTTTTTTCAGAGGAATAAATGAGAACTTTGAAATAACAGAGGAACTTCTTGCGATACTGACAAACGTCACTACAGATGGATCACCAATCTAACCGGTAAAAACATTGGCCTACTAAAAAGATTACAAGACAAAGTAAAAGAAGAAAGCCCTAACTCGGAGGAATTTATATTTCTTCACTGTATTATTCATCAGGAAGCCCTGTGTAAAAGTCTGTTAAAGCTGGAAAATGTTGTAAAACTTGTCAACTTTATACGGGCAAGGGGGCTTAACCATCGTCAGTTCATTCAGCTGCTCAATGACACAGAGGCAGAGCACCAGGACTTGTACCATTCAAATGTGCGCTGGCTAAGCCTGGGAAAAGTATTTCGATGTGTGTGGGAACTGAGAGGGGAGATAGGTATGTTCAGTGATACGGTTGGTAAAGCTGACGGCTTCTCCGAGTTGAAAGACAGACTGGCTGGGCGACTTTGCTTTCGATGTGGACATATTGGGGAATCTGAACGATCTAAATGTGAAACTGCAGGGAAATTGTGTTTTTGTGCATGAACTGTATTCCAACGTGAAAGCATTCAAGGCCAAACTTATGTTGTTCTCCAGACAAATGAGCAGCCGATATCTCGCTCATTTTCTGACACTGGCATCACTGAACGCGCCCACATCGCAGTCCGCACTGAGACATACAGTAGCACTGAGTTTTCCCGCCGCTTCTCAGACGTCAAAGATTGAGACTGAGCTGGAGCTTGTATCATGCCCCCTGTCTTTCGACAGTGAAAAAGCACCACCAGACACACAATTGGAGCTAATCGAAATCCAATGTGACAGTGCTTTGAAGGAGATGTACAAAACAGCAACAGCAGTTCTATGGCTCCCTGAATGAAACAAAGTTTCCAAACATTAAAAAGCACGCCCAAAGGATGCTTGTTTTATTTGGGTCCACATATGTGTATGAACAAACGTTCTCTGTCATTACTTACAACAAATCCCGTCACAGGTCAAATTTAACAAATGACCACTGTTCTGAGAATCTCTACATCAAAGATGACACCAGACTTTGATGCCCTTGCCAAGAGAGGTGACCAGACCCATTGTTCACATACCATAACCCCACTGCCACCATGGGGCACTCTGTTCACAACGTTGACATCAACAAACCGCTCGCCCACACGACGCCATACACGCTATCTGCCTGGTACAGTTGAAACCAGGATTCATCCGTGACGAGGACACTTCTCCAGCATGCCAGTGGCCATCGAAGGTGAGCATTTGCCCACTGAAGTCGGTTACGATGCCGAACTGCAATCAGGTCAAGACCCTGGTGAGGACGACGAGCACGCAGATGAGCATCCCTGAGAAGGTTTCTGACTGTTTGTGCAGAAATACTTAGGTTGCGCAAACCCACAGTTTCATCAGCTGTCCGGGTGGCTGGTCTCAGACGATCCCGCAGGTGAAGAAGCCGGATGTGGAGGTCCTGGGCTGTTGTGGTTACCCGTGGTCTGCGGTTGTGAGGCCGGTTGGACGTACAGTATAACTAACTATAAAGGGCAGACACTGTAATGATCAAGACTCCACAGAAGGTGGCAGCAGTCAGACGTGGGCAATGTCAGAGCGACGCTGATCATTCAGATAGAAATGTATTGTGTAGAATGCAGAATAGGGAGTCACGTCTCAGCTCTATTTATTATGTTTCTATCTGCAACGTTCTGGATGTTGCACCTCTTTGATACACTCTAGTTGTGTGTAAGGTGTGCCATGCATGCTCAACATGTTCTATGTAGTAACCATAGATGTGGTAGTAACGTCAGTGCCATCCAGATAAGAGCTTCGATTGGCTGATGATATTGAGGAAGTCACCTGACACCTTCAGCAGCACTCTTTGGAGTACTAGAATCAGAACAAAAACATTGGTACTGATAAGCCTCGCTGGACAAGTGTACTTATCCAAGGACCAACAAGGATGGGGTGCAGAGTGTTCCTGGCTGTTATACTGGGTGTTGTCTGTCTACTGTCACACTGCCAAAGTAAGTCCAATTTCACTCATTTCATATGAGACAGGAATGTGAAGAGAGAAAGGAAGCAGACTGGGCAGTATTTTGCTTGCAAGAATCACTTTTGCAGTGCTAAACAATACTGCGTTCCAGTATTCTATTCCGTAAACCCATAGCTGCAGACCGCTGCTTTATATCAGTTCCCATTGTTATTCAAAAAACAACATTTACTGAAAGGCATAACCAAATTAATTATATTGCATTCAACTACTCTCATACTTTTTTGGGCAAAACAGACTACTAGACAGCAATATTTGTCATGTTTGTCATTTTCCTTCTCAACTTCTGTTATTAAACACAGGCAAACATTTGCTTCGGTTTTTGACTTTCTGCCAAAAGAACATCACTAGCAAATGAGAGTACGACGTGGAGTTTGATGGAGACGAGCTCTTCTACGTTGACCCCGTGATCTTCCGGGTAGAGCGGCGACTGTCAGAGTTCGCCCAGCAGTGGACCCTTGACCCAGGACTGCCCCACGAAGTGTACGTGTCCCTCGGAACCTGCAAGTACAACATCCCCCGCTGCATTGTGGGAGAAAAGAGCCCGCCGGAGGCCATAGGTGATTGCTGTTTCTGCAAAGTCACATCCCAGCTAGCACATAATTATCTGAGAACCATATGTTTCTTAGAATTTGGTGAGAGCATGGTTGTCCTATGGTTATTTTGCATACAACCTTACCACAAATATCTAGGAATGGTGCAGGATAATTGCTTGGCTTTGGAACGTTCTCAACACATTTAAGGAACTTGACGAAGTAGTTTGACATTGGGAATGATCTCAAATGTTCAGTACTTCAGCATAACGTTTCCTCATGGTTCTATTTAAAGTCATGCTCTCAAATTGTTCAGATGTTTAAAAAACCTTCCATAAAAACCACAAGAAAACGTTAGTAACGTTCAGAGAACGTTCTAATAATGTATTTTATACAACATATACAGTTAAAGTCGGAAGTTTACAAACACCTTAGCCAAACACATTTAAACTCAGTTTTTCACAATTCCTGACATTTAATCCAAGTAACAATTCCCTGTTTTAGGTCAGTTAGGATCACCACTTTATTTTAAGAATGTGAAATGTCAGAATAATAGTAGAGAGAATGATTTATTTCAGCTTTTATTTCTTTCATCACATTCCCAGTGGGTCAGAAGTTTACACACACTCAATTAGTATTTGGTAGCATTGCCTTTAAATTGTTTATCTTGGGTCAAATGCTTCAGGTAGCCTCCCACAAGCTTCCCACAATAAGTTGGGTGAATTTTGGCCCATTCCTCCTGACAGAGCTGGTGTAACTGAGTCAGGTTTGTAGGCCTCCTTGCTCGCACACGCTTTTTCAGTTCTGCCCACAAATTTTCTATAGGATTGAGGTCAGGGCTTTGTGATGGCCACTCCAATACCTTGACTTTGTTGTCCTTAAGCCATTTTGCCACAACTTGGGGAAGTATGCTTGGGGTCATTGTCCATTTGCGACCAAGTTTTAACTTCCTGACTGATGACTTGAGATGTTGCTTCAATATATCTACATACATTTCCTTCTATTTTGTGAAGTGCACCAGTCCCTCCAGCAGCAAAGCACCCCCACAGCATGATGCTGCCACCCCCGTGCTTCACGGTTGGGATGGTGTTCTTCGGCTTGCAATCAACCCCCTTTTTCCTCCAACCATAACGATGGTCATTATATAATGTAATATAATATGCCATTTAGCAGACGCTTATATCCAAAGCGACTTACAATCATGTGTGCATACATTTTTACGTATGGGTGGTCCCGGGGATCGAACCCACTACCCTGGCGTTACAAGCGCCATGCTCTACCAATTGAGCTACAGAGGACTACAGTTCTAGTTTTGTTTCATCAGACCAGAGGACATTTCTCAAAAAAGTACGATCTTTGTCCTCATGTGCAGTTGCAAACCGTAGTCTGGCTTTTTTATGGCGGTTTTGGAGCAGTGGCTTCTTCCTTGCTGAGTGGCCTTTCAGGTTATGTCGATATAGGACTCGTTTTACTGTGGATATAGATACTTTTGTACCGGTTTCCTCCAGCATCTTCACAAGGTCCTTTGCTGTTGTTCTGGGATTGATTTGCACTTTTCGCACCAAAGTACGTTCATCTCTAGGAGACAGAACGCGTCTCCTTCCTGAGCGGTATGACGGCTGCGTGGTCCCATGATGTTTATACTTGCGTACTATTGTTGTACAGATGAATGTGGTACCTTCAGGTGTTTGGAAATTGCTCCCAAGGATGAACCAGACTTGTGGAGGTCTACAATTTCTGTTCTGAGGTCTTGGTTGATTTCTTTTGATTTTCCCATGATGTCAAGCAAAGAGGCACTGAGTTTGAAGGTAGGCCTTGAAATACATCCACAGGTACACCTCCAATTGACTCAAATTATGTAAATTAGCCTATCAGAAGCTTCTAAAGCCATGACATAATTTTCTGGAATTTTCCAAGCTGTTTAAAGGCACAGTCAACTTAGTGTATGTAAACTTCTGACCAACTGGAATTGTGAAATAATCTGTCTGTAAACAATTGTTGGAAAGATTACTTGTGTCATTCACAAAGTAGATATCCTAACCGACTTGCCAAAACTATAGTTTGTAACAAGACATTTTTAAAGTGTTTGAAAAACGTGTTTTAACGACTCCAACCTAAGTGTATGTAAACTTCCAACTTCAACTGTACATTCTGTTCTCAGCATCAACAAAACGCTCTATCCTCTATCTTGTTAAGTGTGTTCAGATGTTATGGCTGTGCCCACTAATTGGCCACACCTGATCTTAATGAGTGCTTGTTTCCTTTGAAATGGGGTCTGTTTGAATAGACTAAAATGAACAGCTTTGTATATCTTAGAAAACATGGCATGCTAGCTCCAGCCTGGTGGCGCAGTGGACTAGGGTGTCTTTTACAACAAATTGGTTTGGTGCGTTTACCCCTTAGTTCAGTTCGTTTGGACTGATGTGAACACTATCCACACTTGGGAGCGCACTAAACAATAGACCAAAAAGGGTGGTCTCCGTTCGATTACATTTTATTGGTTATTTGACTGCTACCATTTGATGAAATTAATGTAGCATAATAACGAATTGACACTCTCCTCGATCACTCTACCACTCATGGGTTTGTGGGTCACCGAGGTGAGAGGACGGAGGAGAGGAGTCTTTTGCCCAAATTAGAATCCCCCCCCCCAATAGAGTCGCCCACCACCCAGATATACTCCCAGAGAGAGGTGGAGCTGGGGGTCCCCAACACAATTCTCTGCCGGGTCAGTGATTTCCACCCAATACCCGTGGATGTGACCTGGACCAGGAACGAGCAGCCGGTGGGAGAGAGGACCGTCAGTCAGACCCAGTACTACTCCAATAAAGGATAAAGGATATTTTCCTACCTGAGCATCACACCTCAGGAGGGGGACATCTACTCCTTCAGTGTGGGTCATGTCAGCCTGCAGGAACCCCTCACCAGGATCTGGGGTGAGTCACTGCTGGGGTGACCTTATAGGGTGTGACACAAAGAAAGGTGGGATGTTATTGATACTGTATTAGGGACACTAACACATTAATTGTTTCTTTACTATATGTGTCCACAGAGGTTGAAGTGCACACGGACCACCAGACTGTAGAGACAGCAGTGTGTGTTGGGGGTGTGACTCTAGGAGTGGTGGGAGTAGCAACAGGAGTCTGGTTTATCAAAAAAGCCAAGAGGTCTGCTTAAGAACATCAGCTATCAGGGATACAGCGAGGGCTCCATGCAACATTACCAAGGACAATTAACATATTCAGCAACCTACAACTGCACTGACAACAATATGATGTAGTTCACTATTTCAATTTTTTAAAATTCATAATCTTTATAGAATAGTCCTTAATTTGTTTTGCTTGGGATATTTTCTTTTTTTGCTTGGATAATGAAGGCACTACACATTTTATTCAACGTCATGTTTCTGTATTCCATGAAAATAAGAAATACTTGTGTTACTGTATTCTTTGTGGGTGTTTTATTCCCCTTAGGTGTACTTCTCAGTTTCTAAACCTGAAATAGGACAACCACAGAGAAAGTACCTGCAACATGATTAGCCCTGGCTTTATACTTCTGTATAAAAGAGGTGGTTGGTTACTGTTGCACAAAGAGAATACAGTAAATCAGGGCAACCATATGAGAAAATGTGTATTTTGCCAACACACCACCCAAACCAGAAATATCGCATTCTGTCCTGTTTGTGTACTATCACATGGCGCTGATATTAACTTCAACTCTTTCCACAGATGATCACTTACTGTAAAAAATGTATACCAAAAAAAAATCAACATATTTGTTTGTCAGGAGTGGAGAGAGGGAAAATAACTATTTTCACTCAACATCAGAAACCTTTAACAGCAGTATAGCAAGGGGGAACCTTATTGGGTGCCAAGGTGGAGCTTAATCTTGTTCTTCACACTGGTGTCACACAGTGTCAGTACCTGTTAATGATAGCTGCTTCAACTGGTAGACTTCAGTGTAGTTATTTGTTCTCAAGGATTATCTCTATCTGGGTGACTGGAACTGGATACACAATGGCTCTCTGCTGGGTCTATTGGGTGGCTGGACTTTCTGTCATTCAGACCTGGGCAACACCAGCAGGTGAGTCAGTATTTATTTTAATGAAATGCATGGTGCGTCTAATATACTGTATATTATGAAGAATGTATCAAATGAAATTCACATACCTTTTGTAACAACACAGTATAACAACTCCACAAAGGCAATAATAAGGAGATTTACCTGAATGGATCCATGTTGTAAGCAACAACATATTTTTTGAGAGTACCTCATTGCACAATGACATGGAAAGGGATACAGCAGTCCAAATTAATTGTTTGTTAATTGTTTCAGGTGGGTACCAGTTCCAGGGGATAGTTGACTGTGAATATGATGACACCATTGACAATATGATCTACTTTGTGAAAAACATATTTAACCAACAATTGAAGACCATCTATAACTCCAGGGTTCAGAAGTATGTGGGTTTTGGGGAGTTTGGCATATGCAATGCAGATCACTACAACAGCCAAGCTTGGAAAATGGCTATAAGGAAAGCTGAAGTGGAGACCATTTGCCGATACAGTGCGCGATTCTTCAAACAGCACTCTGGAAAGAATAGGTAAGTCATGTCTCTTTTTATGTGATGCACGCAGAAGGCTGTTTATTTCTGTTCATAGTCATTTTCACCTAATGTACATTTAAGTCAAGTTTTATTAAATATTTGTTTATAAAAATGTTGCTGTTTCGGTCTGTGGACTTTCATCAGACACAATTTCATTTCTACATCATCCTATGTCCCAGTGCCTCCCACTGTCAAAGTCCGCCTGACCAAGCCGTCTCGCTACGGGGAGCTGTCCATGCTGGAGTGCAGCGTTCTAGGCTTCTACCCTCAGGTGGTGAGGGTGAGCTGGCTGAGAGACGGGCTGGAGACCACCACAGCTGTGACCTCCACAGACACACTGGCTAACGGGGACTGGAGCTAGCAGCTCCACTCCTACCTGGAGTTCAGGCCCCAGAGAGGTGGTCTGGGGTGAGAGACCTGGGGAAGAGAGCAGGAGGGGAGGACAGTTGGAATGGAAATGCAGGGGAGAGGGGTACAGAAAGAGGGGGAGAACATTCTGCTTATAGCAGTGTTTTTATGAAAATGTCAATAGATTTGAAGGTACTGGATTGGTAGCAGCCTTGTGGTAGAGTGTGATGTCTTGTTTTACATAATTTCTTCCATTCCCAGATACCTCAGGCCTGGATGCTAAACGGTTTAAAATGGCATTAGGGGTGTGTTCCCTTTTCATTGGTGTAGCCATGGCTATTAGAGGAGGAGTTTACTATTGGTGGAAGAACAGGTAAGTCACAACATCATTATCACACAATGGACAGAGATTTTGTGTAAACTAGAATTCTATTGTATTATTTTTGATATCAAGAAGTTTCATAATGTAGACATTTTACTGTTTCAGGTCAGGCTTTAGGCATGTGAATAGATAAGGTAAGGCATTTTTTTATATTGTGTTTTACATATATTTTGCAATAAATAAACATGTCTGATCTATACTGCCGGAATCTTTACATTCCATACATCAAAACAGAGAACTCATAGACAATCCTTGTGCATCCAAATGTCACATTTGAACTTTTCTTCCCAGCAGGTCAATTGACTGCATTGATGTGCATGGCATAAGAGAACACTCTTTCTTTACCCAAAATGCCACTGGTTAACAAAGCAGAAGTAATACTTCTCATTCTTTACCATACTATTCAAATTCGGTCCATATGATGGAATCAGTTTGCTTACCACTCGTTTTTTTGCTTGTGAGCGACTTTCCTAGCTTATATTTTCAAACACCATAATTATTGGCACTCTTGATCAAGATGAGTGAAAAAGTCTAAAAGAGCTCTATTTTCATGTCATCTGACCATAGCACTGGTTCCAATACAAGTCTGATGCCGTTTACCAAACTCCAGGCGGTGCTATGGTCAGATGACATGGAAAAACAAGCTTTTTGGCTATGCACACCAGTGGTGGGTTTGGCATCAAAAAACGCAGAAAAGTACCTCATACATATGGTGGTGCATCTTGATGTTACGGAGCTATTTCGCTTCCACTGGTCCTGTGGCCCTTGTTAAGGTCAACGGCATCCTGAACTTTAACCAGTACCAGGACATTTTACCCCAAAACCTTGTTGCCTCTGCCAGGAGGCTGACACTTGGCCCGCAAGTGGATCTTCCAACAAGACAATAACCCCAAGTACACATCAAAATCCACTAAGAAATGGTTAATTGACCACAAAATCAAGATTTTGCAACGGCCATCTCAGTCTCCGGACTTGAACCCAATTGGTTTGAATTGAAGAAGGCAGTCCATAAGTGCAGACAAAGGATATCGAGGATCTGGAAGGATTCTGTATGGAGGAATAGTCCCTCCCAATGTGTTCTCCAATCTCATAAAATATTTTAGAAAAAGAGTGTGTCGTTATCCTCGCAAGGGTAGGGTGCTGGAGCACTGAAAACAGATGTACAAAAAGTACCCTCCAAAAGTTCTTTTAGAGATTTTATTTTTATTACTACAAAATCTATTTCTCTATGCAATTGTATTAGTATAAAATATCATTTTCCAATTTTTTGGAGCATGCAATATAGCTAGCTCAGTATTTTAGTATAATATAATTTATCAAGGGAGCTAATAATTATGGACCTGATTGTAGGTAATGGTAATTGATTGTGCATTTCATACAATAATGCTAGATACAGGATACAAGAGGTTATACAACAATGTCATTTTTCTGTCTTTATTGAATTGGAAATATAGACTCATTAACATGCATAGAATTGTTTGAACGTCGACTATAGCGAAGAAATCATAAAATATCACAGCTTTCTGTTATACCAAATGGGAGAAAAAGCTACTCATTATGCAAGTCCTGTTGAATGAAGACCAATTTGTACGTCGCTCTGGATAAGAGCGTCTGCTAAATGACTTAAATGTAAATGTAAGACGATTACTTAGTCCCTTGTAGCTCAGTTGGTAGAGCATGGCGCTTGCAACGCCAGGGATGTAGGTTCGATTCCCACGGGGGACCAGTATGAAAAAATGTATGCACTCACTAACTGTAAGTCGCTCTGGATAAGAGCGTCTGCTAAATGACGTAAATGTAAATTACTTCAGTTGCCTTGGGACTGCGATAACAGAAAGGCCCTTTATATGAGGTGTCAGAAAATCAACGTTTTGAAATCCATGTAAATTAACTGATCTATTTTGATAATAAAGACCACGATTAACATATGTTAATTTACATGTTTTTGTTCACTCTGTCATGCAAAAACATTGGTTAGGAGAGTTTGCTACATAACAGCGTGGGAAGGCAACACACTTTGTTTTTATGGTATCCGTTTTGGACCTGGTTTCTGACAATTGTAGAAGTTTTCTTTAGAATACGTCATAGCATGTAAGCAGTCAAATTACTAATACACAACATGGGTCCTACTTTGGTATGATAAAGGTTGACAAATGATTGACACCTCATTGAGAGCAGGTGGAACTATACCAGCTGCTTTTTAACTCTATGTACCACCTGCCTCTTCTCATGGCCAGACCACAGTGTTGTAAATTATTAATACTGATAACAGTATGGAGACACCATTTTGGAGGCGTGAGTGAGGAAGGCTATAAGACTTCTCTGCCTTTGTTCCATCCCTTCTGTGGATGAGACTGACTTCTGTCAACATGACTACCCCTCTGTTCATCGCTCTGTCTGTCCTGGCTGTGCTGGCCCTTGGGTCATGTCTACCTATCTTTCCTGAGGAGCAGCCCTATGTGGAGCGTGCTGGTATCCAATACAACGCTAGGCCTTACACCTCCTTCCTCACTGTGCCCAATGGAGAGCAGTTTGGGAACTGGACCTGGCCCGAGATGTGTCCCGACAAGTTATTCGCTGTTGGGTTCATGCTCCGAGTAAGCAAGTGCTCCTTCATATATTTCAAACACATCTACCAGTTTGGATAGCATTTCTTTCAATTAGAGTCAATTCAGGGATTACATTTCAGTCCTCTGTGGTCAAAATGCCTATTTTCGAATACCCCATTTTTCTACTCAATTCAAATCATACATTTGTTTGAATCCAAATGTATTTGTGGTGTTGAGCCGTTACCAAACATGATCAGCACAGTTGTGTATTACGAGACCATTCTTCTTCTGTTTGAGCTAGTGCTAGCATATGTCCATTAACCTTCTCTCAGGTGGAGCCCGAACAGTACGGTCTGGACGACACTGCCCTGAATGGCATTCGCTTGATCTGCGCTAAAGACAAAGATAGGAGCTTCTTGTACACAATTGAGTCTCACACTGGATTGTAAGTACAGACTAGAACAACGTGCCTCATATCGACCTATCACATTGCTCAATTTCCTTTTAAGATACAGGTTTAACTGTAAAAGTGCATTTCAAACTAGAGTGAGGATGACAAATAACAACATGCCTCTTATCGTCCTATTTCATTGCTCAAAGTAGACACAAATGGACTTATCAGTTAAACCCAGAATCTTCAAACTGCGGTGATATGACATGTTATTCAGAAGGCGAGGTCAGTAAAGATGCATCAAAGCTGGGACCGAGAGACTGAAAAACAGCTTCTATCTCAAGGCCATCCGACTGTTAAACAGCCATCACTAGCACGTTAGAGGCTGCTGCCTATAGACATAGACTAGAAATCACTGGCCACTTTAAAGAAATGGAACACTAGCCACTTTAATAATGTTTACATATCTCGCATTACTCATCTCATATGTATATACTGTATTCTATACTATTCTACGGTATCTTAGTCACTTTAATGTTTACATATCTGCATTACTCATCTCATATGTACAGTGAGGGGAAAAAAGTATTTGATCCCCTTCTGATTTTGTACGTTTTCCCACTGACAAAGAAATGATCAGTCTATAATTTTAATGGTAGGTTTATTTGAACATTGAGAGACAGAATAACAACAACAAAATCCAGAAAAACGCATGTCAAACATGTTAGAAATTGATTTGCATTTTAATGAGGGAAATAAGTATTTGACCCCCTCTCAATCAGAAAGATTTCTGTCTCCCAGGTATCTTTTATACAGGTAACGAGCTGAGATTAGGAGCACACTCTTAAAGGGAGTGCTCCTAATCTCAGCTTGTTACATGTATAAAAGACACCTGTCCACAGAAGCAATCAATTACCCAAAACACACACCCAAGGCAACAAAGGAGTGGCTCAAGAAGCAGCACATTAAGGTCCTGGTGTGGCCTAGCCAGTCTCCAGACCTTAATCCCATAGAAAATCTGTGGCAGGAGTTGAAGGTTCGAGTTGCCAAACGTCAGCCTCGAAACCTTAATGACTTGGAGAAGATCTGCAAATAGGAGTGGAACAAAATCCCTCCTGAGATGTGTGCAAACCTGGTGGCCAACTACAAGAAACGTCTGACCTCTGTGATTGCCAACAAGGGTTTTGCCACCAAGTACTAAGTCATGTTTTGCAGAGGGGTCAAATACTTATTTCCCCCCTTAAAATGCAAATCAATTTATATAACATTTTTGACATGTGTTTTTCTGGATTTTTATTGTTATTCTGTTTCTCAATGTTCAAATAAATCTACCATTAAAATTATAGACTGATCATATCTTTTTCAGTGGGCAAACGTACAAAATCAGCAGGGGATCAAATACTTGTTTCCCTCACATACTGTATTCTATACTACTCTACTGTATCTTAGTCCATGCCGCTCTGACATCGCTTGTCTATATGTATATATTCTTAATTCATTCCTTACTTAGGTTTGTGTGTATTGGGTATATGTTGTGAAATTGTTAGATATTACTTGTTAGATATTACTGCACTGTCGGAGCTAGAAGCACAAGCATTTCGCTACACCCGCAATAACATCTGCTAAACACGTGTATGTGACCAATAAAATGTGATGTGATTTATTCCATGTCACGTTTTTACTCTCTACATAATTTGCCTCTTTTCTCTCTCCCTCTGTCTCACAGCTATTGGTCAAAGCTCATTCCAGACTGCTGTGATGGTCAAATATTATCCATGTCACATCTTCCCTCTGTTTGCCTCTCTATCTCCACACCCCTCTTCCTCTCCCAGCTATGGTGACTGATCGGACCCACAGTATTGCCCCAGGGGTGTGCTGACTTCCTTCCAGCTGCGTGTGGAGCACCACCAGGGTCTGTTCGGTAACGACACAGCCGCCAACAACATCAGGTTCCGCTGCAGCAGCAACCCCACCCTCACAGGCGCCGGCCTGGACTACGGTGAGTACAGCCTCTGGAGCCAGGATTGTGGCGACGGAGGAATCTGTGGCATCGAGACCAAGATGGAGGAATACCAGTACGGTCTGGATGACTCCTCTCTCAATGACGTGCGCTTCCACTGTTGCGCCAAACTCCAGCAGGTGAGATAAGACGATTGTGATACCGGAGCATTTATCATAGAGGGTCTGAATGAGTTGGTCTTGTGTATGATATTGATATCACGGCAGCTCTGGAACACTAAAAAAGTATATCACTAATTTTCTAACCCTGTTTTTTTGTCTTATCCTCACAGTAATCATCTGAGAGAGACACCTCTTTTGGACCAGTCTCAACCAACCAACCTATCAGCCCAGACCGGTCAACACACAGGCTCTGACCCATGGTCCATTCAATGCAATCTACACCCAATACCTGAATCTACCACTGGTTCAAACCTAATAAATCATTCAACTGTCTCTTTTATGTTTCCTTTGTTCAGTGAGGCTGAAACAAATTACATATCACCTACTGAATATAACCCACTCATCTAAGCTTAAGATCCCCTCTAGATCTCTCCACAATACGCACTGAAATCCTCATCAGCATGAGAAGAGCATGTTTTCATAGAGCGTCTCTAATGAACCAATAAACTCAAAGCAAAGTCATAACAAAGATGTGCTCACAAAATGGAGGTGCTGACACACGCATTTCTCCTCCTGGAAAGGGAGCTAATTAAGAAATGACAAGGGTTATTAATTAATTTACAGTTTAAAGGCCTGACGGCGTCCGATAAGGCGGCGATTGGCATTCACAGAGGTAATTGTGTTAATGTGTGACTTTATCAAGCAGCGCAGTAATGGTTTTCACCAGATACTCAAACATGAGGCATACTGATAATGACCCATAATTCACTGCTCTGGACTTTCTCTTTTATCCTAATGAGTGAACTTCTGGTGAACTCAAGTTAAGTTCAAAGTGTACTTGTTGAAGGTGAGGAACATTTTGTTAATTTATTGGCCTCCTGGTACACAATACTTTCATTTAGTGTGGGTTAGATTAGAGTGTGATAGTAAAGAGTGATGATTGGTAATCTATATAGGTATGTTGATACTTTGAAAGAGTCCTTATAAGACCATGAAGTGTTTTAATGCAGACACAAAATATGCATTTCTTTGCTGAATCATAAGCAGCATCAGAGGTAGGTAAATCCAACCAGGTGACTGGCATGATCGCTAGATGGCAGTGTTATCTTAGAGGTAAACTGACATTTACGTCATTTAGCAGACGCTCTTATCCAGAGCGACTTACAGTTAGTGAATACATATATATATTTTTTTATACTGGCCCCCCATGGGAATCGAACCCACAACCCTGGCGTTGCAAACGCCATGCTCTATCAACTGAGCTACATCCCTGCCGGCCATTCCCTCCCCTACCCTGGACCAATTGTGCGCCGCCCATGAGTCTCCAGGTCGCGGCCGGCTGCGACAGAGCCTGGATTCGAACCAGGATCTCTAGTGGCACAGTTAGCACTGCGATGCAGCGCCTTAGACCACTGCGCCACTCAGGAGACATAAAGTTGCCATCCATAAAGTTACCATCCATCCACTGACATGGTTCAGTGGATGGATGGTATGACAGAACCAACTAGGTAAAAAAAAAACAGTATACACAGTGTAGATGAACAGAAATGATTAAGTGATCTGATGGCGTAGACAGTTTTTGTGTGTCCTCTTACAGTTTGCAGTAAATCAATTAACCTTTATGGCCCTCTGGGCCCAGAATGGTATGCCTTGAATTAACCTTGGCGTATCATTATACAAATATAAAGATTTAGTCTGATAAATTCCCATCTTAATACAAGATTATACAAAATCTCCAGACAATCAGTATGCCACATTCAGCAGTTTTATCCCAAACCCAACATCAGCTCAGGTCTTAGTGGTAAACCCCATGGGCCACAGTGCTTTAGGCCTAAGTACAGTTGTTCAAGACTAGAACTGCAGGCTTGAAATGAGGATTTTTGACATGCTCTAGTGGTCCACCTAGTCCCCTTGGTCATTTAATAGCTATTAACGCTTCCAGTAGTGGACAAAATGGATATGATGTGGTTGTGGTGGCATAGCCCTCATTATAATGACCCTGTCCTCCCCAGGGCTCCTAGCTCTCATGACGTATAGATCACCCCTGACCGTGAAACTCTACTGTAAATATGCTTGCTTTCACAAGCACCATTACCATGAGTTGTGAACACATGGGGCCTACATAATGTGGTTTTTAATACAGCAACGTAATGGCTATACATTTGATAAATTGTACCCCCTTCACGGTAATGAAAATGTAATAAGCAGATACGACAGATTTTAAAGAATAGTTATGTTTTTTTTTGATACGACAGATTTGATAGAATAGTTATGTTTTTTGCCCCTTAAGAAAATTACTTTGTCCGCAAGCGCATAGCTACAGCACTCGGGTCCAGCCTGATCCAACAATGGAGGGTCCTTATACTGTAGACTATAAGGGACTGAAGTTTTCTGCCTTTCCCTCTTTACATTCTTTCAGCACTCCAAGGCCAACCTACAAGAGCCCTTCACTTTGGGCCCGATTCCGACCCGAGTCAAGCGTGCGTAAATGAAATGGAATTCCCTTTTTATGCACCTTTCTCTCTATGGTTATTCTGACCTTGAACTTCAGCATGAGAATAGCATGCTATTCAACCGTTATTCGTTTTGGATGGAGATCAAAGAAATGAAGGTGTGGCGGAGGTGTGTCTACAGATATGCCGTATTCTGACCTTGACTTAATTCCCTCATAATTACACCACCTTTATACGTGATGAAACAATGAATAAGGTCAAGCAACCTGTCAGTTCCAAGTGGAACAACATCTATTTTCTTTTTCCCCACAATAAAAATAACACCATTCTCCATGCACTGTAATTTGCAAATTGATAAGAGCTAGGTAAATGAGTAAGTCGTTTGGATAAGGGGATTGTAAATATAAATGACAATTGTTTCCTAAGCTTACAGTGGGCAGTATAAGTATTTGATACACTGCCGATTTTGCAGGTTTTCCTACTTACAAAGCATGTAGAGGTCTGTAGTTTTTATCATAGGTACACTTCAACTGTGAGAGACTGAATCTAAAACAAAAATCCAGAAAATCACATTGTATGATTTTTAAGTAATTAATTTGCATTTTATTGCATGACATAAGTATTTGATCACCTACCAATCAGTAAGAATTCCGGCTCTCACAGACCTGTTAGTTTTTCTTTAAGAAGCCCTCCTGTTCTCCACTCATTACCTGTATTAACTGCACCTGTTTGAACTCGTTACCTGTATAAAAGACACCTGTCCACACACTCAATCAAACAGACTCCAACCTCTCCACAATGGCCAAGACCAGAGAGCTGTGTAAGGACATCAGGGATAAAATTGTAGACCTGCACAAGGCTGGGATGGGCTACAGGACAATAGGCAAGCAGCTTGGTGAGAAGGCAACAACTGTTGGCGCAATTATTAGAAAATTGAAGAAGTTCAAGATGACGGTCAATCAACCTCAGTCTGGGGCTCCATGCAAGATCTCACCTCGTGGGGCATCAATGATCATGCGGAAGGTGAGGGATCAGCCCAGAACTACACGGCAGCACCTGGTCAATGACCTGAAGAGAGCTGGGACCACAGTCTCAAAGAAAACCATTAGTAACACACTACGCCGTCATGGATTAAAATCCTGCAGCGCAAGCAAGGTCCCCCTGCTCAAGCCAGCGCATGTCCAGGCCCGTCTGAAGTTTGCCAATGACCATTTGGACGATCCAGAGGAGGAATGGGAGAAGGTCATGTGGTCTGATGAGACAAAAATAGAGCTTTTTGGTCTAAACTCCACTCGCCGTGTTTGGAGGATGGGGCCATGTATCGCGAGATCTTGGCCAACAACCTCCTTCCCTCAGTAAGAGCATTGAAGATGGATCGTGGCTGGGTCTTCCAGCATGACAACGACCCGAAACACACAGCCAGGGCAACTAAGGAGTGGCTCCGTAAGAAGCATCTCAAGGTCCTGGAGTGGCCTAGCCAGTCTCCAGATCTGAACCCAATAGAAAATCTTTGGAGGGAGCTGAAAGTCCGTATTGCCCAGCGACAGCCCCGAAACCTGAAGGATCTGGAGAAGGTCTGTATGGAGGAGTGGGCCAAAAGCCCTGCTGCAGTGTGTGCAAACCTGGTCAAGACCTACAGGAAACGTATGATCTCTGTAATTGCAAACAAAGGTTTCTGTACCAAATATGAAGTTCTACTTTTCTGATGTATCAAATACTTATGTCATGCAATAAAATGCAAATTAATTACTAAAAATCATACAATGTGATTTTCTGGATTTTTGTTTTAGATTCCGTCTCTCACAGTTGAAGTGTACCTATGATAAAAATTACAGACCTCTACATGCTTTGTAAGTAGGAAAACCTGCAAAATCGGCAGTGTATAAAATACTATATCTCCCCACTGTAAATAATATACAATATCAGAGTATTTTAAAATCTACCAATTGGTGCTGAAAAGGAGATGAATATGTGTGTATTAAGATGGTTCTTTAATTGATCCCCATTCTGAACCAATCATCTCAACAGACACTGAGTGTACAAAACATGACAGACTAACCAGGTGAAAGCTATGATCCCTTATTGATGTAATTTGAGCTCCTGAGTGGCGCAGTGGTCTAAGGCACTGCATCGCAGTGCTAACTGTGCCACTAGAGATCCTGGTTTGAATCCAGGCTCTGTCGCAACTGGCCGCGACCGGGAGACTCATGGGCGGCGCACAATTGGCCCAGCGTTGTCCAGGGTAGGGGAGGGAATGGCCGGCAGGGATTTTGCAACGCCAGGGTTGTGGGTTCGTTTCCCACGGGGGGCCAGTATAAAAAAATATGTATTCACTATAAGTCGCTCTGGATAAGAGCGTCTGCTAAATGACTTAAAATGTAATTTGTTAAATCCACTATAATCTGTGTAGATGAAGGGGAGGAGACAGGTTAAAGAAGGATTGTTAAGCCTTGAGACATGGAGTGTGTATGTGTGCCGTGTAGAGGGTGAATGGCCAAGACAAAAAATATTTAAGTGACTTTGAACGGTGCCAGGCGCACTGGTTTGAGTGTGTCGAGAACTGCAACGCTGCTGGGTTTTTCACACTTTACAGTTTCCTGTGTGTATCAAGAATGGTCCACCACCCAAAGGACATCCAGCCAACTTGACACAACTGTGGGAAGCATTGGAGTCAACATGGGCCAGCATCCCTGTGGAATGTTTGATACTTTGTAGAGACCATGCCCTGATGAATTGAAGCTGTTCTGAGGGTAAAAGGGGGTGCATCTCAATATTAGGAAGGTGTTCCCAATGTTTTGTACACTCTGTATAAATTCTAGTGAGTCTGTTGAGAAAATTTGAATTAAAGGTACACCATATTTAATGGGATGGCTTTAAATGTACTGAAAACCCTATTGAATGAAAACTCCATGAGAAAATCTGCTGGCCAGCAAATGGGAGGGTTCTCAGCAATTGAATTAAATGTATTCAGTGAGTGCAAGGGAGCCACACCTGCAAAGCCTGTTACACACCTGCATACGGTAAGTATGACTACCAACTACTGAGATGTGCTTAATAAACCAAAAAGCTTAAAAAAGGAATAGATTTTCTGAGTCTGAATCGGGCCCTTAGAGCAGAACCTGAACAAACAGAACCTCAACTTGTTTTTCTCACTGGCCAATGTCATGTGTAGCCACCCATGTGATTCTAATGTCTAATGGTGCATTTTAGTGTTTACGGAATCTAAGACATTGAAGGTTGCACATAAAGCTTTACAAGAGACTTGAAAATTGAAAGACCAGTGATGAGTGAAATGTGTAGTGTTGGGTAATGATTTAAGTTTAGGAATGACCCCAAAGATGGCAAAATACATTGGTTTTCAAAATAATTCACCTAGAAACATAAAACACCACAGGTGCACATTAAATATAAATCATTTTATAATATACAAATTGTACAGATGTCATGAACAGTAGGGATGTGGACATTTCCATGAAAGCGAATACAAAGAATACCTTAGTTTTTACAAAGACTGCAGTGCGTGACAGTAGCCAATGATCAAAGACACTCAACATTCAAAATGGCAGAGCAGGTGATGAAAACAGTAACATCGGAGATGAAACCTAACAACACAATTCCAGAGGCCACGAGCAAGCTAAAATGACAACATAAAGAGGTTGCCATCCTACTGTATCATGTTTCTGTCATTTCTAATCTGTCCATTTCACATCATAACACACAGGAAATGAACCCTGGAACACACATTTTGTACAGCATTATCAAGAACAATTGCACTGCCACTGACTGCTGAGCTTCAGACAATTATGGTTACATAAAGACAGGAAATAGTAGATTACCTTTTTTTCATGAGTGGGTTGGAGGCTCTTGTTCTAGACAAGGCTGAGGTTGGTCTACGTTAGTCACAGGTCTCCCTCATCACGGAAGGGTAAGTAAACAACGTTCAGCATCATTTAACTGATGAAGTGCCAGATCCTGCTTCACTTTTCTCTCCATATCCTTGTTTTTCAGTATCAGGAAAAATATAGTCTACCCACTCTCCCCAGAGTTTACTCATGTCAAAGCTGAGCAAATGTACAATCACTAATCATCTCTTATCACGAGAGACGAGGGCGTGGAGTTCACAACCCCCAGGTAATACAAATGGATACAGGACCTGGTGTCATTTGACCCATGGTTACGGTTGTCCATGTTAATGGATGTCCTACCGGAATGCTGTAGGTGTTAAAATACAATGATGTAAAGAATGAGATCTCCTGATTGTTCCTGGCTGTATTTTTCCACACTTTCCTACCATAACTTAATGTACTTTGTACTTGAACAGGCAGTATTGTCTCAGTGTAAAATAATATACAAAGGAACAAGGATCACAGATATAAAAAAAGACACAAATTGGTATGAACAACAGAACTGATAAACACATAATAAACAATGTATAAATAAGCAAACGTGACAGTCCTACATTATCTTATATCCGGGCAGAAAGTGATTTGTTTAAATCTAAAGAGAAAAAATGACTTGATAAGAACCCGGTGGGGAAATCTGTCTCATATTCCAGGTAATCTCTTCAGTTATCACAGAGGGGTGTTTTAGATTGCCTTTTCTTATTCAGATTTGTTCTAGTCTCACAAATATTAAAACTGACAATTAATTTCTATTCTCTCTCTAGCTGTGACCCACAAAGCTAAATAAAATATGTTGAATACAACAAGTGCTTATTACAGCTCATAGTCGCCTAAAGCGAAGCGTCGCTGAAAAAATCAAAATAAAACAAAAATACCACAGAAATAATATCACAAAATAAAATATCCTGACTTCATATCAAATCTGCTATTTGACATGTGGGCGAACTCCTTTGTACTTGAACAAGTAGCAGCTGTGGAAAATCCATCAAACATGGTTCAAACATGACCCCTGACCACTTGGCCATTAGTAATGACCTCACACCCACAGCATCCAGCTCCATCATATGAGGGCCGGGGGGACATGGACCATGTTGTGGAAAAAGTTGGCAATGACAACCCCGTAGCTACAAATCCCCAATATGCCTTAGGAGGTAGCTAGCTACAGTATGCGCGTTAGAAAGCACACTTCAGCTAGTGTTAGCATGACAGAATACACTGAGCCTACCTTCAAATCAAAAACAGAAATGTCCCCTGTAAATCAACAAAACCTTGTAAAATATAATTCCTTACCTCCCGTTTAAATCTAAAACAGAGAACACTGAACATACCTTCATATTACCATCAAACACTGATTGTAACAACCCTCTCAGGCTATAACACTGAAACCACCTTGATATCTGTCAAACGTCTGACATTTGTACTTGACGATTTAGGCCCTGTATCATAATAAGGCTATCCTGGTCACAGTTTGGAATTCTATTCTATACAATACATCTGCCATTGACATGAACATTTCAGAACAGTCGGTTATTCAGAAAAATACCACATTTACAAAACGGCGACATGCCTATATTAATCTGTAAACATACAGGTTTCTACAGACTTTGCTTAGCAACTGCAGCACAAGAAAAATCAATCCCTATGAAAATCACAATCCAGATGAAGTGCTATTTGTTATTTTTCATGGTGAGGTTTTCCACTGTCAATAGCCACATAAGTGACCCCTATTATAAATGTATGACTTGACTGACACCCCACTGACAAAGTCCATTAGCCGGTTAATGATTTCTCCACACAGCATCGATGCAGCACCACTTTAAAATGGAAAGCAACATGATACCTTGAAAAAGCGACATTATGATTTTGATATTGTCAGAAATGACGCAGTAAAGAGGGGCTTGGAAAATGGCAAATCAAACACGGCTATTCCAAATTGCTCAATCTTTTTTTTCTTCTACTTCCTCTGTGCTCCGTTTCTATCTTGGTCTTCTATTTTGGTCTGTGAACATCCAGTCATGGCTCTGCCCATAACCTTGTCTCCATACTTGCCAAGTACTTTTTAATGACCATTGATTGGAAAAGCTATTAAAATCGAACATGTGTAAACTCTCAAAGTTGACTCAACATTTCCAAGTATGGTTCTCATCACACTTCACTTCCACTCAACCCACACACATTCAATGGAGATTTACTCCATTATCAAACACTTTACTTGGCTTGGATATTGACACATTCGGAATGCAAGGCGAATGTATCATACCTACTATTAGAATCAGAGTGATTATCAGCATCATATGTAATACTTTACACGGAGGGCTAAAAGTAAACAAAGTTCCATTCACCTTGCATTGGATTGCCTGTCGCAACAATAGCTACTACATTTCCCACAGTGCTCCTCATCTAAACCCATGTGACATACAGTAACTGTACCACTATGGTACTGTACAAATAAGGACAAGCGAGTTTGCCTGGTTAAAGTCTGTTTCTTCAGACCCAAGCCCCATTGGTCCCATCAAACTTGTCCATTATATCCAGTGACTCTCGTACATTAGTATCCTCCTCATCATTCTCAGTTATGTACATTCAGTATGTGTAGGTATAGGATCAGTCTGAAGCTGTGAGAGAGACTGTTGTGTGTCCATCTGTGGTAGAAATGTGTCTATTGTGGGGAGAAGTCTGCTGCAGAGGATAGAGTGATTACATGGTAGGAGGATGTTGCAGCAAGAAAGGCTGTTCCAGGGGGTAATGGTGACTTTGAGGAGCCCCTATCTCAGGTTATGATGTTTGGTAGGTACATGATTGATGGGTAGGAGAAACCTTAGGTGTGATGTCTGCTGTGGTCTGAAGATGTTTACACATCCGACCCTTGACTCTCTTCAGGGCATTGATTGGTCAATTTGACCTGTCCATCATCCTTTACTGCCTTTTGCACCTCCTCCTGCACTATATATTCTTCCTGGTCAGGTGGGTCTTGTTGCATGGCAACATTCTCAGTTTCTCCATTCTCTTCCCCTCCATTTGTCTCTTCCTCAGTCTCAACCCCATTTTCCTTCACTTCCATTTCAGCTCCTCCCCCTTTCTGTGATTGCTCTTTGGTCTCCGCCTCCACCTCTGAACCCTTGGTAGTTTCGGTCTCATCTTCAACTGCCACCCCATTTTCTCTCTCTTCCACGATCTCCCTCTCTCCCTCTCTTTCTTGCTCAGTCTCTGTCCCCGCTTCTTCTCCCTCCTCCACTCTCCCCTCTTTGTCACTCTTGTCATCTGTTCCTGCAGCTCCATCTCTCTCCTCCCCAGTTTCTACCCCGCTTTCTACCCTGTCCTCAGTTTCCGCTTCAACCTCTTTCACTTCCTCCACCTCACAGGGAGCCTCACCCTCTTTACACACAGTCTCTACCTCCGTCTCTTTCACTTTCTCCTCTTTGTTCCCCTTGTTTTCATTCACGTTCCTGCTCTCCTCTTTGACCACCTTTCCCCCGTCGTCAAGAATCTTGGAAACTTCCAGATCTTTCTCTGCTGCCGATTGCTTGTTTTTCTTCTTCTTCTTCTTGCTTTTGAATATCAGTTTCTGAAAGACAGGATGTTTGTGTAAGAACGTTTCAAAACTGCTGTTCTATTGGCCATGTTAAGGACGGACAGACAGACTATTGAAAATTGACATAATAGCAAACAAATGATTCTCATTGTGGGGAATGAAATGTTAATTTCAAGGGAATTGATTGGTGCCTTCAGGGGTATAGACCAAACAAGAAAATATGGCTGGTAATATTTCTGAGATCGCCTCCATTGACCCTTTCTTAGCACAGACTTATAGTATATTGAGGTAAACAGATGTTACCTGCACACAAACATCTGCATTACCATTCTCTGCTCGTCTCTGCCAGGGTTATTGCCCATCAGTTTGGTTGCCAATGGTGACCAGCGTTTGAATTCAGATCATAGACAATATCAGCATGGATTCATTCCACAAAGGACAAAGGTCAAATCTAGAGGTTATATCAGCACTATCTAGGGTCATATGGAAAGTACTTTCTCAACATGCATTGCTGTGGTTCCCACAGAATGGCTCATATCTCAGGAAGAAAGGGGTTCATTCACATTTGACCGGCACTGTGCATATTTACAGTGGGGAGAACAAGTATTTGATACACTGCAGATTTTGCAGGTTTTCCTACTTACAAAGCATGTAGAGGTCTGTAATTTGTATCATAGGTAGTACACTTCAACTGTGAGAGACGGAATCTAAAAAAAAAAAATCCAGAAAATCACATTGTATGATAAGTAAGGAAATAATTTGCATTTTATTGCATGACATAAGTATTTGATCACCTACCAACCAGTAAGAATTCCGTCTCTCACAGACCTGTTAGTTTTTCTTTAAGAAGCCCTCCTGTTCTCCACTCATTACCTGTATTAACTGCACATGTTTGAACTCGTTACCTGTATAAAAGACACCTGTCCACACACTCAATCAAACAGACTCCAACCTCTCCACAATGGCCAAGACCAGAGAGCTGTGTAAGGACATCAGGGATAAAATTGTAGACCTGCACAAGGCTGGGCTGGGCTACAGAACAATAGGCAAGCAGCTTGGTGAGAAGGCAACAACTGTTGGCACAATTATTAGAAAATGGAAGAAGTTCAAGATGACGGTCAATCACCCTCGGTCTGGGGCTCCATGCAAGATCTCACCTCGTGGGGCATCAATGATCATGAGGAAGGTGAGGGATCAGCCCAGAACTACACGGCAGGACCTGGTCAATGACCTGAAGAGAGCTGGGACCACAGTCTCAAAGAAAACCATTAGTAACACACTACGCCGTCATGGATTAAAATCCTGTAGCGCACGCAAGGTCCCCCTGTTCAAGCCAGCGCATGTCCAGGCCCGTCTGAAGTTTGCCAATGACCATCTGGATGATCCAGAGGAGGAATGGGAGAAGGTAATGTGGTCTGATGAGACAAAAATAGAGCTTTTTGGTCTAAACTCCACTCGCTGTGTTTGGAGGAAGAAGAAGGAAGAGTACAACCCTAAGAACACCATCCCAACCGTGAAGCATGGAGGTGGAAACATCATTCTTTGGGGATGCTTTTCTGCAAAGGGGACAGGAACGACTGCACCGTATTGAGGGGAGGATGGATGGGGCCATGTATCGCAAGATCTTGGCCAACAACCTCCTTCCCTCAGTAAGAGCATTGAAGATGGGTCGTGGCTGGGTCCGTAAGAAGCATCTCAAGGTCCTGGAGTGGCCTAGCCAGTCTCCAGACCTGAACCCAATAGAAAATCTTTGGAGGGAGCTGAAAGTCCGTATTGCCCAGCGACAGCCCCGAAACCTGAAGGATCTGGAGAAGGTCTGTATGGAGGAGTGGGCCAAAATCCCTGCTACAGTGTGTGCAAACCTGGTCAAGACCTACAGGAAACATATGATCTCTGTAATTGCAAACAAAGTTTTCTGTACCAAATATTAAGTTCTGCTTTTCTGATGTATCAAATACTTATGTCATGCAATAAAATGCAAATTAATTACTTAAAAATCATACAATGTGATTTTCTGAATTTTTGTTTTAGATTCCGTCTCTCACAGTTGAAGTGTACCTATGATAAAAATGACAGACCTCTACATGCTTTGTAAGTAGGAAAACCTGCAAAATCGGCAGTGTATCAAATACTTGTTCTACCCACTATATCTATGTGAAAACAAAAACAACTGTGGTATGGGCCGGGATGGTGAGGGGTGATGTTGTCCTTGGAGCGCTGCGAGCCGACCTACATGTGCCAAGACAAACACTGGGAGGAATGAGAGGTCACGTACCTTGGATTCCCTCCTCTTGCGGGAAAGGACAGGTCTCTGAAGAAAAACGACCTGCTTGGTGGCCAAACTTCCATCACTAGGGCAGAGGGAGAGATTGGGAGATGGAGAGGTAAAAGGTAGAGATTAATATGGAGAGAGAGGGAGGGAGAGAGAATATAATTAGAACTGAAATAAAAAATAACTTTGGAACCATAGCCATTTTCTCGATAGTTAATTTGCTACTTTATTTGTAGAGGACAATGTCTGTACCATCGATAAATAAATCAATGTCACACAATCACATTGTCACAAGCTCTTTTAGAACTACTTGGGGTCATTTCAGAGCGAGCAAGAGAGGAATGAAAAATGCAGTTTGTTTTATAATGCTCCGGTTCCACATGGGGGAGCAATCCACACTCTAGACTATACCTTCTATTGGTTTGTGTGACTATTATGGTCAGTGCTGATGCTATATTAATGGCTGACATTTACCACAGTGAGATGTGAGTTACATAGCAGTGGTCAACCTCGATAATTCTGCTTTCTTCCCTTTCTGTCCTCTCTGGTTAACACAAGAAACCAAAAAGGACTTTGCAGCAATGATGTACAGTGGGGAAAAAAAGTATTTAGTCAGCCACCAATTGTGCAAGTTCTCCCACTTAAAAAGATGAGAGAGGCCTGTAATTTTCATCATAGGTACACGTCAACTATGACAGACAACAAAAAAAAAATCCAGAAAGTCACATTGTAGGATTTTTTATGAATTTATTTGTAAATGATGGTGGAAAATAAGTATTTGGTCACCTACAAACAAGCAAGATTTCTGGCTCTCACAGACCTGTAACTTCTTCTTTAAGAGGCTCCTCTGTCCTCCACTCGTTACCTGTATTAATGGCACCTGTTTGAACTTGTTATCAGTATAAAAGACACCTGTCCACAACCTCAAACAGTCACACTCCAAACTCCACTATGGCCAAGACCAAAGAGCTGTCAAAGGACACCAGAAACAAAATTGTAGACCTGCACCAGGCTGGGAAGACTGAATCTGCAATAGGTAAGCAGCTTGGTTTGAAGAAATCAACTGTGGGAGCAATTATTAGGAAATGGAAGACATACAAGACCACTGATAATCTCCCTCGATCTGGGGCTCCACGCAAGATCTCACCCCGTGGGGTCAAAATGATCACAAGAACGGTGAGCAAAAATCCCAGAACCACACGGGGGGACCTAGTGAATGACCTGCAGAGAGCTGGGACCAAAGTAACAAAGCCTACCATCAGTAACACACTACGCCGCCAGGGACTCAAATCCTGCAGTGCCAGACGTGTCCCCCTGCTTAAGGCAGTACATGTCCAGGCCCGTCTGAAGTTTGCTAGAGTGCATTTGGATGATCCAGAAGAGGATTGGGAGAATGTCATATGGTCAGATGAAACCAAAATAGAACTTTTTGGTAAAAACTCAACTCGTCGTGTTTGGAGGACAAAGAATGCTGAGTTGCATCCAAAGAACACCATACCTACTGTGAAGCATGGGGGTGGAAACATCATGCTTTGGGGCTGTTTTTCTGCAAAGGGACCAGGACGACTGATCCGTGTAAAGGAAAGAATGAATGGGGCCATGTATCGTGAGATTTTGAGTGAAAACCTCCTTCCATCAGCAAGGGCATTGAAGATGAAACGTGGCTGGGTCTTTCATTATGACAATGATCCCAAACACACCGCCCGGGCAACGAAGGAGTGGCTTCGTAAGAAGCATTTCAAGGTCCTGGAGTGGCCTAGCCAGTCTCCAGATCTCAACCCCATAGAAAATCTTTGGAGGGAGTTGAAAGTCCGTGTTGCCCAGCGACAGCCCCAAAACATCACTGCTCTAGAGGAGATCTGCATGGAGGAATGGGCCAAAATACCAGCAACAGTGTGTGAAAACCTTGTGAAGACTTACAGAAAACGTTTGACCTGTGTCATTGCCAACAAAGGGTATATAACAAAGTATTGAGAAACTTTTGTTATTGACCAAATAATTATTTTCCACTATAATTTGCAAATAAAATCATTAAAAATCCTACAATGTGATTTTCTGGATTTTTTTTCTCTCATTTTGTCTGTCATAGTTGATGTGTACCTATGATGAAAATTACAGGCCTCTCTCATCTTTTTAAGTGGGAGAACTTGCACAATTGGTGGCTGACTAAATACGTTTTTTCCCCACTGTATGTAAACGTGAATATGTTCTATGCTTAGGAGAGAGCTCAGACACCAAGAGAAAGAGACCATGTTCACTGGCTTCCCCAAAACATGGCTGTCCTCATAAACTTCTCCAAAATAATCCCTGTCCATGCACATGTCACACTGTGTTCATTTATGGATAATCCATACAGTACAGATGACAGACTAATCCACCAAGGAGATTCTGTCATCAGTGGGCTTCCTGTCTCTCGTGCTTGCTCTCTCTCCTGTTCGTCTCTCTTCGTTCCTTCTCACACGCATAACCTTCACTCTGTTTCTCTCCTTCGTCTCTCCATCCGACACGCATGTCTCGTCTCTGTTTCTTACTTTAGCCTGCTGTCTCTAACTATCTGTCTCCTTCACTTTACTTATCTGCCTCTTCCTCTTGTATGAGCTTCATGTAGGCTTTATCCATCCTTTCCCTTTTCCTTTCTCTCTTTTTTATATCCCCCTCTCCAGATCGCTCTCTCTGTCACTTCCTCTCTCGGAATCCCTCATCCATTAAAATAGATGTACTCTTACACACACAGGGAAGAAGCAGCTTTGAGTTAAGCTGGATCCTTAACTTGGCATATGAAGAACAATGAAAATGTATGATAGGGTGACAACGGTATAGAGCTGGCTGCAAATCTTCCCCACAACATCAAATGGGCTTCCAGATCTCCTGCAGAGGCTTACTATCTAAACCATCCCGATCCCTACCTCCTTACCCTGCGTTTCCAACAACCTATTTTCCAGGCTGTCAGATTGCCGGACAGCTTCTTGCTGAATGAAAGCAGAAAAAGCCAACCTGAGTCCTCAGAAAAAGACCAAGCCTATTAAAGTAGAACGGAGCGGATGTGTTTGAAAATGACAGGCCCCTTGCTGCTGCAGTCTTCTCATAGCTGTCTGTGTCTGCAGTACTGGAACAGCACATTCATATACCAGCAACAATACTTTCTTCGGTACAGTGGTAGGGAACCTTGTGTATCGTGTTTAGTCGTTACCTGTGGTTGTTCATATCAGCTTTATTCATGTTTTCTGTAGAGTAATGTTAAGCATTTCTTATAAAGGTATTATGAAGCACTTACCTATCTACTAAAACAGTTACGATGTCCAAACATCAGATTTACACCAAATGTAACATGTTCCATGTGGCAGAAATATACTGTACATTACCACGTGCACCTTCACATTCATTGTACGTTGATTAAAGAAGCCTCGAGTCTCGGTGGGTGTTCACTTTAGATGCTAACTAGTGTGTAAGTAGGTTTATGCATAACAGACTCCATGTAGACTCCTTCGGAACAAGTGCACTTTGCTCATCCACAGACAGTATCCCAACGTGCATTAGCGTAATATAGTTGTAAAAATGGAAGAGTCAACATAATACAAGTGTAATGACTAAGCTAATCTGAAATGGGTCACTGCTATCGTTGCTGTACACAAAGAGACGAGTGTTTCAGAAATGGAGAGAAATTAGCGTTGCTGTGTTGTTATATCTAGGCCGGCTCTCTGATTAATTAGCCATGTTGCGCTGTTGTGTTTTGGCATTTTGAGAGAGAGGGATAAAAAAAAAAGAGTGATGAGAAAACAAGGGATGAAAATAGAGCGGTAATTAATCAGCTATGCTCCGGAATGGTCACAAACACGACCAGCAGAGACAAGGGTACGCAAGGGAAACATATAACTGCAACCGTGTTGAACTCTAAGCATATACTTGGAGTCTTCATAAGCATGACATAACACATTTCATAACTCTGACTAATAGCGGCAAACAGTAGTTGAAACAATAGCAAAGCGTTCTCCCCACCACTGTTTCGGTAAAAAGCGGGGGGATGGGGTTGGAGAAATGTTAACATTCAAATTCAAAGACAGAGCTATGGATGCAAGGACTGACCATCCATGACATCAACAGTATAGTTTTAACCATGTTTTGAGGCTATACAGTGTTTGTTTACATTTACTTTGTTTACAAACATTGGAGTAAAACAAAGTTATAGTTGGGGTTCTGATGGGGTACAACAGTTGAACTAAGCTCATAAGGCATTTATTTATAAGTTATATTCTTCAAGAATCAATTCAATGAGTACATACAGTATCATTGGATTGGACGTGTTCTGACTTGTGATAATGATGAGTGCTTGTGACTGTGTAAACTAGGGGTTTCAGATGAGAGACAAGTATTATTGAGGACTTGGAAGTCATGTTGTGACTGAGCTGTTGACTGTTAGCGAATGTGTGGTTGCAGTCCTCATATAAGATGAATGAGTCAGCAGAGGCTGAGCAGAAGAACCGTTACATTTCTCTGAAGGGATTTTCCAGTTACACACATTTGTGGGTTTAAACTGTCTCGCACCACACGCTGTTACGTATGAACTCGCCAATTGGGGCCAGTTAGTATTTTCGTTGAACAGCCTGTTGAGTTCTTCTGACTGATTTCACAATCCATTTAAGTTGAGCTGTTAACGGACCAGTGATATGGGCTGACCATCGCTTTGTCTAAATGAGATGGGTGTTCATTGAAATCAAAGAGAAGGCAGTTTAATCTCCAGAGGGTTAATCATGTTGACCAATCAATACCAGAGTTAGGTAACCAGGATATAAATGATATGGTCATTCAGGCCCTAACTCAATATTATTGAGATTGTGTATTGGAAGGTGAGAGTAGTTACCTGTTGGTCTTGATGATTGGTGTAGGCAGCACACATGTTAGTCTCCAACCATACATGGCAAGAGACTGGAGCAAAGGAACATAGTCTGTCTTCACCTGCAAGCCCTAAAGAGAGAATACACACACATTAATATTACATACTACAGTTATACACAGACACTATACACACACACATGCATACACGTACGCACAATCACACATACGAGTAGGGCTGGCACAATTATCGTATAATCATATAACTGACAATAACTGTGAACTTAAAAAATTATCGTCATAATCGTCTTAATACATATTCATTTTAGGAGAAGGGGGGATTCAACTTCATATTCAAGTAGATAGAAATGACCCAATAGCAGTTTTTCATTTTTACATGAAGTGGGTAAAGTTGGTAGTCATTTTACGAGCAGAACGGCACCATTGGAAGGAGAAGCTTCATTTCCCAAAGTTCCAAGCGGTCAAAACTATTCGTTTTTGAGACAGGGGTGTTACCAAAGCTGTGTTGTATTCATTAGGTTTGTCGTAGCTATTTTTCAGAGATGCATTATGATGCTCAATTTTTTTTTAAAATAATGACAATTATGACACTAACCGTGTCCATTTGCATGACAAGTAA